CCGTGTAAGAATCAGCCGACCACAACCGCTGATACTGAAACTTTGAAACTTGCTATGCTAAATGTCAGATCTCTTTGTAACAAGTCTTTTTTAATCAATAATTTTATTTGTTCTTATAATCTAGATCTTATGTTCATGGCTGAAACATGGCTTGACCAAAATACAGAAAATGCAGTTTTAATAGAAGCATCACCACCAAATTTCAAATTTGAATCTGAAATACGGGGAAACAAAAAAGGAGGAGGCTTAGCTGCCATTTTCAGAGACCACTTTGTCTCCCATAGAATGTCTCTTGGGAAGTTTCCGTCTTTTGAATATGTGTCTTTTAAAATACAACAAAAACAATCTAGTCCAATACTCTTCATTGTCCTATACAAGCCACCGCAGTCATGTCACAGATTTATTGATAACTTTACAGAGTTGCTTTCAGTTGTATGCACAGACTTTCATAGCTTAGTTATTACAGGTGATTTTAATATTCATGTGGATAATGTTATTGACAGAAAGGCAAAAGAGCTGAGTTCTGTTCTTGAATCTTTTGGTCTCACTCAGCATGTGAGTGGCCCCACCCACAGCAGAGGGCACACTCTAGACCTGTTAGTTACTAAGGGGGTGAATATTTCAAATGTAAACGTGGTCGATGTTGCGCTTTCGGATCATTTTTGTGTATTTTTTGACATGTGTTTCACTAACAAACCACCAGTGGACTCTGCAACTGTACGAAGAAGACACATAAATGAAAATACGGGTGAACTATTTATGGGAATGATAAACTTTGAGAATGCATCGTATTCTACTGTAGATGAACTGTTTAACTCTGTCACCTCTAGTGTTTTGAATGTTCTGGACACCATCGCTCCTGTGAAGGTTAAAACAGTGAAAAATAAGCAGAAGGCGCCGTGGGCTAAAGCAGACTCGGTCAGGGCACAAAAGAGAGAGTGCCGGAGGGCCGAGCGGAAGTGGCGCAAGTCCAACCTCCAGGTTGATTACGAGATCTTCAAAGATAAGTTGTGCGAGTTTAACCAGGTGCTACGTAGTACGAGAGAAAGGTATTTTTCTGAAATGATTGAAGGCTGCAGCAACAATCTGCGTGTTCTGTTTTCAACAGTTAATAGATTAACAAACCCCCCTGTTCAGATGCCATTAGAGCTAACTTCCAAACGTAAATACTCTGGATGTAGCTTGGAGATCACAACTCCACAGTTATTGCTGAAGCACATGCTGCTTGGATGTACTACCCACTAGATTTCTGAAGTCTGTTCTGAGCAGTCTGTTACCTTCACTCACACAGATAGTAAACATGTCCCTTCATTCTGGAATATTCCCAAAGGCCCTGAAAACTGCAGTTATCAGGCCCCTGCTAAAAAAGAGCAGTCTCGATGCTACGGTACTTAACAACTATCGTCCCATCTCAAATCTGCCATTTATGGGGAAAGTCCTTGAGAAAGTTGTCTACCTACAGCTTACTAGATTTCGTATAATCAACAACTCATTTGATATGTTTCAGTCCGGCTTTAGACCCCACCACAGCACTGAGACTGCTCTCGTTAAGGTTACAAACGATATCCGGCTGAACACAAGGTCAAAGTCTCAATCTTAATCTTGTTAGATCTGAGTGCTGCCTTTGACACCGTCGACCATGAGATCCTCTTACAGAGACTAGAGGACTGGGTTGGCGTCACTGGCACCGCCCTAAGTTGGTTTGGGTCTTACCTTGAAGACAGGAAGTACTTTGTGGAGATTGGAAACTGTGTCTCAGATCATATGGCCCTGACCTGTGGAGTACCACAGGGGTCGATCCTGGGACCTCTTCTGTTCAATCTCTACATGCTGCCGTTAGGTCAGTTAATACGCAGAAACGAAGTTTCATATCATAACTATGCAGACGACACTCAGATCTATGTCTCACTGACTGCAGGAGAACATGGACCAGTGGACTCACTCCTTCACTGTATCCAACAGATCAGTGAGTGGATGCAAAACAACTTCCTTCGGCTAAACGCAGACAAAACTGAAATGATTGTCTTTGGTCCCCAGAAACAAAGAGAGAGCGTCATCTGTCACCTACAGTCTCTCTCCCTAAAACCTTCAAACAAGGTCAGAAATCTAGGGGTAATACTGGACTCAGACTTAAATTTTAATAGCCACATCAAATCAGTAACATCAGCAGCTTTTTTACCATCTAAAAAACATTGCCAGGATCAAAAACATAGTGTCTAAAGCAGACCTGGAGATTCTTATCCATGCATTTGTCTCCAGTAGGTTAGACTACTGCAATGGCCTGCTCACAGGTCTGTCCAAACAGGCTGTAAAACAGCTGCAGTACATTCAAAATGCAGCAGCTCGAGTCCTGACAAGAACCAGGAAGTACGACCACATTAGTCCAGTCCTCAGGTCTCTGCACTGGCTTCCTGTGGCTCAGAGAATAGACTTTAAAACAGCTCTGCTTGTGTACAAGTCTCTCCATGGCCTCGCACCAAAATATATTAGTGACATGTTAGTCCCATATGAACCAGCCCGAACTCTGAGGAGCACAGGGACTGGACTCCTGTTAGTGCCCAGAGTCAGAACTAAACATGGGGAGGCTGCTTTTCAGATTCATGCTGCTAAAATCTGGAACAGTCTTTCTGAAGATGTGAGACAGGCCTCCTCTCTGACAATGTTTAAAACCAGGTTAAAGACAGTTCTGTTTAACTGTGCATACAACTGAGGGATTTTATATTTTTATCTTTCTTTTTAATGTTCTGTGATAATTTATGATTTTAATGCTTTCTTGTTTTGTTCAGCACTTTGAATTGCCTTGTGTATGAATTGTGCTATATAAATAAACTTGCCTTGCCTTGCCATAATTGATGAGTGGTTTCAACCCAAAAGGTTTATGAATTTAGGATTATTTTCATACATTTCCTCCAAAACAAGGCACTAAGGATCCGCTGGTGAACGTATTCAGACCTGCTACACATTGTTTGACTATAAATACATTTTAATTTCATTCTGCAGTCGTCATAGCAATCTGCATCACGAAAACCTGTTCTCAGCATGCATAAGTCTGTGTAAGGTTAACTTCTGTAACTTCTACATTAATTGACAACTATTTCAACCAATTAACTTGTTACAGCCCTCGTCGATATAGTAATTATCATGACAGTCCTGGGTTTGTACAAGCCTGGATTAGGTTTCCACTTTCCTTTTTTTCATCCCAAGATACAATGCAGCGCCATTTTATCTCCATTCCAACCAAAGTGTGTCGGATTTGTTGCGTTTTTAAATTCCAACAGTTGTTATCGCTGGGTTCAAGCGCAACACAAGGTCACTGGGTTTAGGGATGCAGATTTGTGTCTTTCTCTCTCCCCCTGCCCCCATCCCTCGCTCGGCCCGTCGCGTCTCAAACTTGGGCCCCTTCCGAACTTCATTGTTGGTCTCCATGGTAACCTTTGTTTGGGTGCCCAGGCCTGGTCCGCATTAGCAGCACAATGCAAAGCTGTGGCCAGTGCTTCTCCTTCCTTCCCCCCTTCTCTTTCCTGTTGAACATTTCCTAAAAAATAAGTTTTAAAATGTGTTTGAACTTGTGCTAGGAGTGTAGTCAAGTGGTCAGAATGTGCTCATTAAATCGTAGCTCGCACGGCCCTTTTGGCATGTTAATTTGTTTGGCAAAGAAGCAGATCCAATAAGTAAAAGCAACACCATGAAATAGTACATTTTCTTCCTCTTGGGTCATTCTTTTGCATGTCCAGTTTTTGCATAGCTGCTATTTTGATGAAAACAAGATGGACTGATTCACTTCAGCTGTTTCTTTTAGAACTAATACCAGTTTAAATGTGAGGATTTAAGAATGTCCACTGAATGTCACTTTATCTACTTATTCTGCCCTATATGTATATAAATTTGCACTATATATGTGGGTATTTATAGATGTATTGATATATTGACATTGAAGCGTTTACAGCTAGCTAAGTCACATAGCAGCTACTTATTTTGTATGTTTCGTGAGCTCCCTGTGTGGTCTTACTACTGTCCTGTATGTGTGCTGCAACATTGACATTTCTCCACTGTGGGACGAATAAAGGATCTCTTATCTTAAAATGTACAAGAGAAACTCTGAGTTAAAGTTTAATCATTTATGTTATTTCACCTAAAATATGAAACCAATTTATGATATAGACTCGCAAGGATCTTTTATTGGACTTTTTATGGACTTTATTTTAAAACGGAGCAGGACATTACAACGGATGCAACTTTAGTTATTACTTTTCCACTTTATTTTTTGGTCTAAAGGTCAAAGAAAAGGTATTTGGGTATTTAAACCATGTGAACATTGTGAAAAGTCTGGTCCTCACTCATTACCTGCAAAGTGACAAAAGACAAGCCTTTGTTATCATTTTGATGATTGTGGCTTACAGTACATTTGCTAAATATTCTACTGTAAATGCTAAGTGTTAAATTACAAAATGAAAACCTGTGGCTTATATTCAAGTGCAGCCTACTCAGACAGAAAAACGCTTACTCAGCCAATCAGCTCTCAGCCCAAAGCATCAATTAGTGACTCTCAGAGCTCTTTCTTTTAAGTATGAAGAATAAGACAAGTTTTCTAATAAAATGAAAACAATGGATAATATGTTTTCTAATACTTTTCTGTAGACTAATTGTTTTGGGACTAACAAAACACATTATTTATGATTGATTTCAAAATGAATAGAATGTCATAGATTCATTACATTTTCAGAAAAGTTTAGTGTTGTTAAGGTGACTTTGTGGATTCTCAAGACCAGACAAAACATCTGTGTCGAGATCGTGTGTGTCCGCAACAAAATACAAAGGAGCAACTCGGCAAACTGTCAAAGATAAATCACACTTATGTGCAAGAAAAGCTAAATAATCAGTGAGAGGAGACGGATCCCGACAAGAGCTATCCGGCAAACACACAGGTTTGCACTGGCCATGGAGCGGCACAGTCAAAGCAAATATTGACCCTCCAGACAGCAGGAGACGCACTGGAGAATATGAGTGTTTGTGATCGGAGGGGGTTTGAGGGGGTCAAAACAAAGGCGATAGATGAGTGTGAGAAAAAGGTTTGTGTGTCGAAAGGAGGGGGGCGAGGGGCAAAAGCAAACGAGACAAGAGGAAGTGTGAGAATGAGAGCAGGATATGAAGCGGCTAGAACACTGCACCTGGTTTGTGATACTGCTGTCAGGCTCTATTCAGGGTAATGGCTGATGGAGGCTATTGGAAAGATCATTTAACACTTTTAATGGAAGTGTAGTGTATGGAAGAATTTGCTGTTAGAAGAAGAATATATTTTAGGTATTTACCATGGATCTATAATAATATCAACAAATTTACTCGTAGGCTGCATCCCCCTTTTTGGATCCCTCTCTCAATTTGGGCCGTTTCTAACTTTCATCCCGCTGGGTTTTTGAGTTGTTCCTTACTGATGTTGGAGGGTCTGAGGACAGTGACGATCATGGACATTGGTCATCGTCCTCTCTATGGACCTATGTGTTTGTTATTATTAAATTTCTGTTTTAAAATGGTTTGATTCTCTGATTTGTTGATGGTGAATTGACCACTTCGAGACGACAGCTGTTGTGATTTAGGGCTATACACAAATAGATTGAATTGAATTGAATTACACCCCCCCCCCCTCCAAATTTAGCCTGACATAAGAGTCTCTCATTTGTGTTGTCAGCTTTACTATAGCCTTTTTACTATACTATAGCTAGAGCTTTTCACACACGTATATTTCTACTAGAGTCTACCTGGTCGGCTATTCTCCAGAGCATTGGCAGTTTGTACACACCCTTTTTTTCCAGACACAGAGATGATTCTTCCAGGGCTGAAGTGTTATCTCTGACTAAGATTCGGATCTGTGTCTGTTTGTAAAAAGAACACACACTCTTCGGTAGAGCTGCCTGTGGTCCCATGCGCCCTGGCTCCTTTAATCTTCCTGGTATCAAAAGGACAAGAATCTTCTCAAGTGATGACGTCTCAGTTCTTAGGCACATTGATACACATCATAAAAAGCGCTTTGTCTTCTTTTGTTTTTTCTGGAAGAACTTGGAATCAAACTGAGGCTTACAAGTGCGTGATATCGCTGTTGCTTCTGTCTCATTTCCTCGACAAACCCAACAACAATGTGCTAGTTTTCCATATCGATAACAATTTGGTGTCTTGTGCCTGTACCACAAAATGAAACGACTACTGCTTTGAATGAAAAGACTCCAATGAAGTTCATACTTGGGAGATAATTGAATCTTGTGACCAGCCGTATGAATCAAAGCCTTGAACACCCCCCCTCGGATATATTTGTTTTCGGATTTGTTGACATCACTTCGGGGTGGAAGATGAAGCGACTTTATGCAGCAACTTTATACAAAATGTGAAGGATAAAAAAGTTTAAGTTCATAAGTTCAAATCAATTCAATTCAATGTATTCTTGTACAGCCCTAACTCAGTAGTTATCCTGGGGGACTTTACAAAGTTGTCGCCAACACAGATCAGAGAATCAAACCGTTCAAACACAAGATATGTAATGATAAAAAACAAACACATATTGCCAATGTCCATAAATGTCGCTGAATGTCGAGTGTCCTGGATCATCCCCTGCATCGGCATGTATTGTTTGTGTTTTTCAGTCATTTCTGATAGTTTTGACCTCACAATATACCAAAGATTTCAATAATAATAACAATTTAATTCCTTTCTCACGTAACTGTACTTAGGCTTATCTTAAGTGTGTTCTCTGCTATTCTATATATTTGTTTTTGTTTGTGTACTATTTTTCTCTGCATGATTTTTGTGAAGTGCTTTGTGATCCTGGTCTGTGAAAGGCGCTATATAACTAAACTTTAATTACTTACTTATTTATTGTTTATTTGGTTGGGACAGTGTATGTTATCAAATGCATCTCCCTGGATTGTAGCCTTGGGCAGATTTGCATCCATTGTCCCACAGTCTCACTAAATAACTATTCAATGCTGCTTGTTCGAATCTTGAATCTCTTAAATTGTCATCGCTCAGCCCTAGTCGGTGCAAATACAGATGCCTTTATGTTATTTCTTAAAGTCTGTGTCAGCGTCAGTCTCAATGGGGGCGTGTCCTTTGTCTCGTGTCCCGGCCTGCTCCAGCTGAAGTCCATCTGGGCCCTGGGGACAGAGGCTCAGGGACAAAGCTCCCGGAGTGTGTGGATCCTGGCTTCGCTCTCTCACAGGTCAAAGCTCAAGAGGCTGTTCTCCTTTACAAACTCCCTCCCCCCCCCAAAACAACAGCCTCCACAGGACAGTACTGTGTGAATGCTGCTGTGAGACCACTGTAACGAGAGCTCACGTTTCAGCGATTACAGACTCGTCCCGCTGTGAAGTGGAGAAGACTTTTCCCAGTGTTTTCAAACAACTCAATTTAACAGGTCTTCAGGCCGAGCTCATACTTATTTAGATTAAAAAAATTGAGCCTATTCGATTCTTGTTCTAGTCCTGGTTTATGTGCAATATTAGCGCCTTTACAATTTTATGAGAAAACGGTATTCTTACAATATATGTTACCTGGATACTTAAAATATCGATCAAGTTATATTGTTATTTACGTAGCCCTAACCCTCTTTATACGTTTTATGTGTGTTAAAAAGCTGTGACAGAGGCTAAAACTGGTGATAGAACAACACTGGAACTAGTCAGATAGATTTTTAACACATGTAGTTCAACGCTTGCTATTTGAAAGTTAGGGCTTTACCTTTCTCTTGTCCCTGGATAGTGTTGTTTAAGCTTTGTCATGCTTTAAAACTGCTTTATAATTTGTTTGGACAGTATGTATGCTTGTGTCTATGTTTTTAACTCCTGTATTAGTTCCAGTTCAGTCCTGTCTTGGGGTTGATTTAGAGTGTCATAGCATTTTTTTGCATTTTTTTTCTCTGCCCCTTCGATAGCTCAGTTGGTAGAGCGGAGGACTGTAGTGGATTCAACTGAAATCCTTAGGTCGCTGGTTCAAATCCGGCTCGAAGGAGGAATGCTTTTGTATTTTTCTCCCCCCTTCTTGATTCCCTTGCGTCATCGTCTCCAATTACAGTAGAAGTCGTCCGCTCTGATTGAGACAGTAGAAAGTGTGGGGACTAGGATCACATCTATTGCTTCTACTATTATGGACTATATATAATAAAGACTATGGCAAGGCAAGTTTATTTGTACATAAATAATCACAGTACATTAAAAAGCTAAACAGAACTGTTTTAACCTGGATTTGAACATAGTCAGAGAGGAAGCCTGCCTCTCATTTTCAGGAAACTGATTTTGCTGATTTTAGCAGCATATATCTGAATTGCAGACTCCCCATGTTTAGTCCGGACTCTGGGCACCAGCAGGAGGCCAGTCCCTGTGCTCCTCAGAGTCCCAGCAGGAGGCCAATCCCTGTGCTCCTCAGAGTCCCAGCAGGAGGCCAGTCCCTGTGCTCCTCAGAGTCCCAGCTGGAAGCCAGTCCCTGTGCTCCTCAGAGTCCGAGTTGGTTCATATGGCACTATAATACTTGTCCTTTGTATATGTTTTTATGAGGTGCCAAACCTATTTTTCTCTGTAAATTAGGTTTTACCATATAGAAAGTGTATTGTAAACACGAGCATTGTTGATGTAAATTGCTGATTTGCATGAGTGTACTTATCTTTGAAGATAAGAGAAGTACACTCATGCAAATCAGCAGCAGCAGGTTTCAGGTTAGTGTTTATAGCCACCACTGAGAGCGTCTACAAAGCACTAGTAAAACCCCAGTCCTCCTCCTCGTCCAATTTAATCCGATTGATAGATGTATGCAAACTCTCTCATTTTCATCCATCATCCCATGTTGGTAGAGCGGAGGACTGTAGAGATCACAGTTGTAATCCTTAGGTCGCTGGTTCAAATCCGGCTCGAAGGAGTTTTTTTTTTTACTTTTCATTCATACAAACGAGTGCATATGTTTTGGAACAACACTATCAACACATTTTTAAAAATCCATCATTCTCTGATTCAGACCAGCTTAAGTTTATAGTAGTACCCGCTAGATCAAATATGGACATGAAAATATCACAATAAGAGAAGGAAATATCAGAATGACAATATAATTTGCAGAAAAAAACCCGGCACAACTTTAATACAATCAATAACTATGTAATAAATCTGTCTTATTTCTCTGTCCGTAGTTTTCACATTATATCAGTACATTTATAAAACACATTTGTTTTACATACTGCTTTATGGCCCTGACTATAAGCTTCCTGAGAACTCCCTTTTACAAAGGACTCACAAATCCTAGGAATTAGTAAAATGTAGGAATAATTGAATGTTCGTTAAAATAAAAGAGAATTGAACATGCTTGTATTTCATTAAATAGTGTTTTTTAATTAGAAAAATAGATTATCACAATTCAAAATGATTTTAGACACCTGGGATAAAAAGCTTACAGACACCTACCCTTTAGTATACATAATGTTTGGTCATATAATGTTATTTTTACCAGCTTGCAGCTAAATTTATGAAATAAACTTGAAACCAAATCAACAATTCCCAATGTTGGCCCCTCCAGTGTAATTTTTCCTTTTCATGAAACAGTTTTCCCATGAAAATCCAACACATTTCTGACAGATGAAGCTCTTCGCGAAAGTTCACTGTGGTAGACCCGGCCGCTGCTACAAGCCTGCTCATCCTCTACTCATTACACCAGCAAAACGCCCACATCCAATCCACCAATAACCACCAGGACAGCAAGTTAAAAGCCGGAGACGCCCACTTCCCGGCCTTCTGAAGGTTGCAAAGCCTCCGCCGCCCCACCTCCTCCTTCTCTCATCGAAGCGTGCTTGCCTACTGCCTCTGCCGTCACCAGTGCCTAGGCCCCGGGGGGGATTATGCGCGCGAGCAAGCGCCGCACTCATCAGCATCTCTCCCGGGCCTAGGGCGCCAAACATACTCAATCAATAAACTTCTAACTGCATTTTCCTCTTGGGTCTCTCCAAAGTGAAATGTACCTATAGCCAGTGTATGTGTGGATACGGAGGATTTGATGAAGGTGATTCCCACAATCCAGTGACAACACGGCTCTAATCCCATCAGGTCGCCTCGGGTTTAATGTCACTCTCCGCTCAAATTGGTTTAATCGTATTTCACCGTATTATTATTATTCACTAGTTCTCGTGTCTAGTATCTTGTTTTTGAGCCCTTTCTCCATTCCTACTGTTCTTGAACTGTACGGAGCAACACTGAGTTTTAGTTTTTTGTCTCTTGCGTTTCAATGCAGATTGCAATTTTAGGTGAAAGACAAAAATATCGCAATGATATCGTTATCGCAATACTAAACACTCAGATCGAATATGGCACTAATTTCCAATATCGGGCAGCCCTATTATTTAGCTAATTTTAGATAGTGTGCTGGATCCATTAGCGTTGGATGTGGATTACTATTTACACACACACATAATGTAGTGAGTCATTTGTTGGAAGCAGCTTATCCTGGCTCTGCTAAACCAACAGGAAATAGCAGATTATAACTGGACTCTGGCCCTGTCACCGCTGAAGCCGACACACACGGCATCACGTTTTAACCATGGGCAATTTCACACTAAAAACATACACATTATATTTTTAACTTATTCCCACTCCTCTAACTTCTGTTGTCTTGTTTTGTTGTTGTCCTTTGTTCTTGTTTGCCATGGCTCGAAACAAATGTATCCATTCATTCATTCATTCACATTCACACCAAGAGATCATTTTGAAAGTAATCTGGTCGAACAACGGGATCTATTTTGCGTTGAGATAGAAGATTACGTTTTGTTGAGTCATTCAAATAGCCTATTATTGATGAAAAATAGTAATTGTTTTGGCTGTGGTTGAGATATAGCTCTTTTGGCCTGTGTTTTAGAGTATGTGTATGTATGTAGAGTATGTAGAGTGTGAGGTTATCAAAATAAGTAAGCAGTAAAGCTGCCGGATTTTGGGTCAATATTTCTGACCAGGTTGCAATGTTATTTTTGATATCCTTCGCTTATGTTCAGAAAGTATAATTTTGTTCAGAGCAAAAATAACTAATTCATAACTTCAAAGTAGCTTTGGAAAATATGAGAAAATAAGAGAATTCCTCAAAGAAACATTTGGGAATACATAATTTCCCCATATTTCATAAAAAGTTGAGTTCTTACCTAGAAAATGAATAATAATAATATTTGATTTATTTTTAAAAAACAACTTCAAAGAGGCCATTTTCTAACACACAACTCCCACATTCTAACCTTTTGTAGTATGTATAAATGCTTAAACTTATTTTGACAGTTTTCAATACAACATTTAAAACTTACGCATACACAGCTAATCTTTTGTGCCTTTTCTTGTTTGCAAAGAACTAAAATATTTTCATTTTCTATTTTTTTAAAATCATGCTCCCCATTCATATTCATTTTATTATAAAACTCGAAAGGTCTATGATGCGTTTATTGTTTGGAGAAATACCCAAACCCATGTCCAAGGTAATGTCCCCTTCGATAGCTCAGTTGGTAGAGCGGAGGACTGTAGAATGCACAGCTGTAATCCTTAGGTCGCTGGTTCAAATCCGGCTCGAAGGAGAAACCTTTTACCTCATTAGTTTTGCCAACATTTTGACTTTGACTTATTTGAATGCCATCACTTTGCAAAGGTGGATATGGAGGATTTTCCCAAAATTTCGGAAACAAACCAGTCAATCTTCACCTCACAAACAGGCAACCCAAATCATATTCTCACTCTGCGCTCTGATTGGATACTTTACATGAAAATAGTCAATGTAAATATTAGCAGTTTTATATATTTTCGAACCAGGTACAATTGTATTTGTAATTATTATCAGAATCAGAATCATTTTCATTGCCATGTAAGTAACAGGAAGTCACAGACGAGGAAATTGCTTTGACTGTCGGTGCAATCAAGTCAAAAGTAGAGAAAGAATAAGGCATATTAAAACATTTCTAAAGTGTAACATTTTCTAAAATAGACAAAAAAAATTATGTATCCATCTTAAAACAAAAACGTTTTAAATTGCACATGTTTTAAAGAAAGGGGGAGGCGACATAAATATTACATACTGTCCCTTTAATGTTCATGTATCATATAACCTGTTTTATTTTGTTGATAGTACTCAATTGTGAGAGAACTAAGAGGGGACTCAAGTATTTTATTTTTGAACCCTATTCCGTTTGTAAATGTCACATACTGTGGAGCTCGCTGCTTTTGGATCAGCTGTTGTCTGAACATGAGGAAGAGGGACTGACTCATCCTCCGACTAAAATGGGACTAATTCTTCTCTATTATTTTATTGGCGTTAGAACATTGCAAAACACCACTCTTTGGGTCTGGTGGGCGGTATCGAGGAAAACACTTTTGATTACATCATTCAAACAAAGCTATCCTTCTGTGTATTTTGTTGAAATTCAAGATCACTCGACATTTATATAAGCTAAACGCTGCTTCAAGGGTTTACATTTACAAATATGCAATGTCACTGATTATGAATGAATTTTACACGCTTTTATTTTGTATTTGTAATGAACTATTATTATCGGCCCCAAGTCCCTCCTTTCCAATACCCACCATTTCACACTCTCCATCGACAGCCACACCATCTCACCCTCTGCTCAGATCAGAAACCTCGGAATCATCCTTGATCCCACCCTTTCCTTCAAGCCCCACATCCGCAACATCACCAAAACTGCCTTCTTTCATCTTAAAAACATTGCCCGTCTTCGCCCATATCTTTCCTCCACCGCTGCTGAAACCCTGATCCATGCATTCATATCCTCCAGACTCTTTCTGCAACAGTCTTTTATATGGCCTTCCTTCATCTGATCTCCAAAAACTACAATATGTCCAAAACTCCGCCGCCCGCCTCCTCACTCAGACCCGCTCCAGAGAGCACATCACCCCTGTCCTTCAAAAACTCCACTGGCTCCCTGTTAAACAGCGCATCCATTTCAAAATCCTCCTCATCACCTACAAAGCCCTCCATAACCTCACTGAACTTCTACAGCCCTACAGTCCCTCCCGCCGACTCCGATCTGCAGACTCACATCTCCTCACTCCCACTGTCAAATCCAAGCACCGAACCTTGGGGGACCGAGCTTTCGCCATCTCTGCTCCCACTCTCTGGAACTCCCTCCCCCTCCATCTCAGAAACTCAAAACAGCTCAAAACTCACCTTTTCCTCCGAGCATTTGACTCTTAGTTTAAACTCTCTACCCTTCTTCCTCACTCTTAGATTTTTAGTTTGTGTGTCTGTCTAAACGTGTGTGTTTGTGTCATGAATTTGTGAAGCGTCTTTGAGTTCTTGAAAAGCGCTGTATAAAACTGATGTATTATTATTATTATTATTATTAACTCAACTCAACTGAAGTCGACATTCAACGACATGTATGGACTTTATCAACATTTATGGACATTGGTCTCTGCTCCTTTTGGACCAATGGCTCTATGTGTTTTTTATCATTTCATTTCTTGTGTTTGATTCTCTGATCTGTGTTGAAGAATTCGACTGTTTTGTAAATTCCTCAGATATAACTAATGTTGTGATTTAGGGCTATTGAATTTAAACAATTATTGCAATAATATATATTTTTTGAAAGTGCATCTGTGTTACTTATTGCTAGAAACATGTTTAAACGTTGATTTATCCATTTACTGATAAAAGTTTTTTTGTCCCTTCGATAGCTCAGTTGGTAGAGCGGAGGACTGTAGTGGCTGATGCTGAAATCCTTAGGTCGCTGGTTCAAATCCGGCTCGAAGGAGAAACCTTTTAATTTTATTGCTTATATGTGTGTTTTTTGCGGCTCAGCTGTTTGTGTCGTTGTCACAGTTTTTACGACAGCGGATCACAGAGAAAGACGTTGGCTTTGAAGTGTTCCGTTCAGACCTGCCTCAGCCTCAGGGAGAAATGTGAACTGTGAGAGACTCTCCTGTCAATGACCCCGATACCACTGCCTTATAACACACAGCCACATCTGAGCCATTTCTCTCACACTAAATCCCCAAAAAGACTGTTACGCACTCACAACAAGGCGCGTTTACTGCTGAATCTCCGCACCGGTGTCCCCCTAAAATACAGCAGCCATATTTCTATCTTTCAATGGTCTTTTTACAGCCAGCTTTGAGTGAAAATAAGTAAAATATAGGTTTCCTAACTCATTGACTGCCATTGACGTATTGTCTGAGACTGGTGATTTCTGTCAAACTTCCCTCTATTCGACGGGGGATTACAGAAGAATAAAACTAGCTAGAAACCAAAATATTGTTGCTGATGAAAGTAGACAGTCCAATCTTTCATTTTTCACATAGTCAGAGCACAAAATATTCTGTGGGTCTTGAAAGTCAAAAATGGCAGGCAGTCAATGAGTTAAGGATTACCATCGTATTTTCTACAGTCCTCCGCTCTAACTGAGCTACTGAAGAGGACAGTGCTCTGCCTATAGGTTGAGATCTATGCTAGATAATTAAATTGAAAGAAGCAAGTTTGAAATCTATAGCTTTAGCATCATGAAGAAGTAAGAATTAAGTATAAAATCTCTGACTTTAGCATACAATATAATAATTCCTCTTGTATGTGGCGTGACGTACTGGATAACGTGAGCCTAAAAATACCCTTTGCGGCCTGTTCGTTTCCGTGCTCTCCTTCCCACAAATAGGCCGATAATCTGTTTTATTATTTCACTATCTCTCGTCGGACCTAATCCTGATTCCGTTGGTCTGTGAGTAGCTTGGCCTGTTTGTGTTGATAGTATTACACTGATTATGTCCGATGGCCTCTTTATGACGGGGCACGTAATCCGCAGGCAGATGGAAACTCTCTGCATTAGCCTCATATTTACACCACACAGCACCCACACCACTCCATTTTCTTTGGTATTTTTCAATTTACAACAAAGGAAAAGGGACGGACAAAGAGAGGACGATTGTGTTTTGAATTTTGACTCTGATTTTTAACATGACGCGGATCTCGTTTTACAAGTGGGTTTGTTACTATGAGATTTGGCTTGAGCTGAGTTTCATTTTCAAGAATGCGTTGAGCTGTATTTCAAAAGCAGAGAGACGGCAGAGGAGTGATTTGGCCGTGAATCAAATGTAATCTGCCCATTTTTTATTTAAATAACTTGTGTTTCTGGTGCTTATTGGTATAGCTCGTTGATTTGGCTTGAAATGCAAAGCTCAATACTCCACTTAAGGTCATTTACAAGAAAATGTGGATTTGTTTTGACTCTTTTTGCTTCTTTTTGACCATCATATCAATCTACTAATTACGTTTATGTCCTTCTCTATCTCAACAGAGAGGTATCAGACAGAATTTCAGACATAAAACCATTGTTAGCGTGGCTATTTAAAAAAAAAACAAAGGGAATGTTGTCAAAAATGCTAAATATTGTTCTTGTTTGTCTCTTGCAGCGTGCCAACCGTCCCTGTGAAGAATCTTAACGGATCCAGTCCTGTTCACCCTGCACTTGCTGGTAAGAACGCATTCATTCTCACTGTGTAAATACAAATGCTCCACAAAACTATCATAATTTATATCTTTAAACTGTGACATCCAAAACGTGGTTCCTGTTTTGTTACTGCAAGAAATGTCACAAACGATAAGATTTCTGTCTTGAATTTAAAGCTATGCTAAACAACTATACGTAAATTGAGTTCCTCCCACTTTTTCTCAAACAATAGGGTGAAGTTTAGCCCTTCGATAGCTCAGTTGGTAGAGCGGAGGACTGTAGTGGGGTCAGCTGGAATCCTTAGGTCGCTGGTTCAAATCCGGCTCGAAGGAGAATTGTTTTGCATGGTTTTTGAATCAGTTTATTTTGACACCGTAACTTAAAAGTGCATCCCTCAACTGTCCTGCTTCTGATTTCTGCTTCTTGCCATCGATATGTTATTGCTTTGCTTGAAATATCGCTCAGTTTTGTTTAAATACATGGGCATACCTCAATAAAAGATGATTTCAGTGGGGGATTTTTAACAGCAAAAACACCTGCCTCTACACAGATATAACTTATAATAACATAGCCAAGTAAATTAACAGTTTTGTTTCATGACACAACAACATTTAGAAGACGCAATTTCTCTCTTCTTTCTGCGGCAACTTAAAGAATTCACCACAAACAAGGTGAGAGAGACCAGAGAGGGACCAGAGAGAGAGACCAGTGAGAGAGACCAGTGAGAGAGACCAGAGAGAGACCAGAGAGAGACCAGAGAGAGACCAGAGAGGGACCAGAGAGAGACCAAAGAGAGAGACTAGAGAGAGACTAGAGAGAGACCAGAGAGAGAGAGGAACCTGAGAGAGACCAGAGAGAGACTAGAGAGAGACCAGCGAGAGAGACCAGAGAGAGACCAGAGAGAGAGACCAGAGAGAGACTAGAGAGGGACCAGAGACCGATCAGAGAAAGATCAGAGAGAGACCAGAGAGAGCACAGTCCTCCCCTCTGAAAGAGGACTGTGAGCTGTCTGTTCTGGAGGCTCTATATGAATCCAGAATCTTAAATTGAGCTCTTAGAATAATAATTGAATCTTCTGGTCCCTGGAAAAGCCATGTTCCAGCTTCTTCCCTCTGGCAAGGAAGAAGCAGGCCTCTATCATGCATGGACGTCGGAACTATTTTCTGAGAGGGGGGGCGGGTTTTTGTTGGGAGAGTCGAGGGAGAGACTCATACTTGGATTACACTGGATAATAACATACCATCTTAATTGTTAAGAAAAACAAAATAAACAATATATATCAAGCAAGTCACTTATCAAACTGAACTTTTTTTTTTTCAATACGCATTCATGCGTCAGTCTCTCCGGTGGCTTCATTGTGTTGTGTAGCCCAGTGACGTGCGGTCAGATGAGGCAGGCAAGGCCCTCACCTAAGATCATAGAAAGAAAAGTAATAAAATGGATACAATAATGTTTGGTCACTTTATCAAGTGATTTGTGCTGTGCCTTATTTCATTTATTTATACCTTGAAATCGCAGATTTGACAGAGCGGTGCTGTGAGGCGAGCCTCTCTTGGGAGACGTAAAAAGCAACAGCTCACAGGGAGAGTCCTGTGAGGTGCTATCAAACTGTTTTCTCTGTTTATCACAGTTTAAAAAGTTCAAAAATATTTAATTTACAATCAACATGTTTACATTTAAGAGGATGGCTCATAAATTGTGTTTTTGAAGCAAATATGGGTCTTAATCGCGCTCAACCACAGCTTGTAAGTGAGGAAAGCCTCAAGGGGGCGCTTGTGAGCCCAAACTTTGGCTGCATCCAATTCCATCAGAAAGCTCCTTTCTTGTTCTTCTTCTGCTAAGGGCAGCTACAGGTTTGGCTAACATACCTATAATACATTTTAAGATAATTTAAAATGCACTTAGAGTAATGTTTTGCTTCCAATGATGATATGAATCATAAGAAAAGGAGGTGAAGGGTAAGGTTGAATTTAGAAATTGGATTTACCCGGGAGTCGGCTGCAGCAAAACTCGGAGTTTACGGAGGAGACACCCGTTTGTTTTACTTTTTAAAACTCATTGAACTTATTTCCAAATGGAGGATTACATGTCTGTGCTCAAACTATTATCTGGACTTAAACATGAAACTGGTCCTAACTGAAGTGGTCTGTGCTGTTCATTAATACCTAAGGTCCTAAGGTAAGGCCCATAACACACTTTGTACTATTTACAAACGTTTGCGTTTTGTATGAGAAAACAATGCAGACATTAAATCATATTCTGCTGTAGCCAAACAAATTGTGTATAAGCCGCTCCTGTTCCTGTAGGTCCTGTTGGTTTATATGATGTATAATCATATGAACACATGATTGATCCCCCACCGCACGTCACTGGTGTAGCCAGGTCTCTAATCTGCGCAAGGCTGAGAAAGAGCGCTCAGAGGCTGCGACAGATATTAGCCAGACAGAGCTTCATAAGCTTCTCCGACAGCATGGAGCGGGTTTTGGGCTGCAAGGAACGCAGGATAGTGATAACTTCTCGCTCCCGGCACACGCGGAGGGGGTGCGGCCGCACCCCCCGCACCCCTAGTTCCGACGTCTATGCTATCATGCGAGGAGATTCAGGAAGATATGCTAAGATAAGATAAGAATTCCTTTATTCGTCCCACAGTGGGGAAATTTCGATGTTGTATCGCACATATAGGACAGTAGTAAGAGCAATAAACTGTATCTGTAATTTCAATGGGACTTTCCTGGTAAACTCAAGGTAAAATAATGTGAAATAAAAAAAAACACTTTCTTCTTAGCATTCTAGGATTAAAATGGTCTTCTGCTATAATTCCATTAACACCTCCTGATCAACGCATGCAAACTCTTCTCTCTCTAACCCACTGCTCACTTTACTTACTAACAGGAATCACCGGGATCCTGATGAGTGCTGCCGCTCTGCCCGTGTGCCTGACCCGTCCGCCCAAACTCGTGCTGCATCCTCCTCCCGTCTCCAAGAGCGACATCAAACCAGTGCCCGGCTTTGGACACTGCTGCCGCAAAACCACCAAGAAGCAGACGCGCAAAGGTAAAGCCAGCCACATTAAAAGTTCACAGCGTTTGTACGGAAGACGAACCAATCCAGCCCTAGTTTTGACCTGGTTTTGTTCAGCACTTTGAGTTGCCTTGTGTTTCAACTGTGCTGTACAAATAAACTGATTGTATTAGATGAGGTCCTTGTTTAATGTAGCTTCATCTGTAGTTTTCACAGTCTTCATCATAATCTTTTTCAGACAAATAGTGAAAAAAGAAAGGACCACTCTTGCTTAGCCTTTAGCTGTCAGCCCAAAGTGTCAAATAGTGACTCACAGGAATCTTGAACACTCTTTCTGTTGGGAAAAACCTAAATATATTATTGATGACTGGGCTTGACAGTCAGAAGGTCCTGGCTTAAATTCCACCTCCAGATCTTTCTGAGTGGAGTTTGCATGTTCTCTCCATGTCTGGGTTGGTTTCCTCTGGGTGCTCCACTAAAAACATGTACAATCAGTCTGAGTGTAATGAGTGAGTGAAGGATGGTTATGGTCGAAGGCTTCAACGCGCCAGTGTATTGGTTCTCCAAAAACATTGTGCTTTGTGTGGCCTTGGTCTGTAAAATGGGCTGTATGAATAAAGTTTACTTACTCACTAACTTAGATACCCCAGCTTTAATCACTTTTATTAATGCAACATCATCAGCCAGTCAGGTGTTTATTTTGTACCATTACGCAAAGCCTAAAGTCAGGTGTTGCTATGCGCAGGTTAAAGTGACAGTCTGGAACTCTAAATGAATTACACATTTTAAGAATAGTATTAAATTGACCTCCTGGCCCTAAATGTTGATATAAAATAAGTCATTTCATTAATTCTAATATTACGGGTAAGTCCCTCCTTCCCTTCTTTTAGCTATAGCTCAAAATCCATGATGCCGTCCAGTTTAACCAATCAAGTGATGCCAAGGGCTATCAATCATCGCGCTTGTGCTCGTATATAATTAAAATATTAAATATATAGGACAGGGCGACAGTAGCTCAGTTGGTAGAGCATTGGCCTTCAGGCCTGAAGGTTGTGGGTTCAATTCCCACCTCTACACCTTCTCCACCGACTCCCACTGATGACTGCTGTTGTTGTGTCCTTGGGCAAGACACTTAACCCCACTTTGCCCAAAGCCCCCACTGAAAGATCAAGGCTATGCTCACACTCAGAGAGCAGCCGTCCTCCTGTGGACTCACCACCTGCAGAGGGTCAGTGAGGGGCTGGTGCTATGAGACTTGGGTGGCATCTCTGACTGCCACCCCCCTGACCCAGAAATGGATTAAAGGGTAGATAATGGATGGATGGATGGATATATATATAATCGATCGAATATTAGACAGCACTTAATATTCAAAGCTGTAATGGGCATTATCTTTTTTATATTATATATATTAAATAGTTAGTTCCCAAAGGTTTCACCGTGACGTGACTAGACGGGTAACAGCTAGGCTAGCTCACTAACTAGAACTCTCTGGAACTACATGAAAACTGAAGAAAGAATTCTGAACATCAGCGGTGAGTGACCCAAATATATAGACTTAACCTAAATCCATAATCAGGTCCTCTACAAATGTGTCCTAAAATGTTCTACTAATGTAAATAGTTACTTCCGGATCGCTTTTTGACTCATTAAAACAGTATTTTTGGAGAGCAGGAGGAGTGAGTGCTACAGGGTCCAAAAAGTAGTTAAAATCAGGTGCTCTTCAGGATGAGAAATGACATTGAAAAACAAATACACCCCTTTCCATGGAAAATGAAGACAGGGTGAAATCCGAGGCACTCTGATAAAAGTCCTTAATAGAGAAGGGACCAACGCGTTTTGGCAACGCAGGGCCTTGACACTGCCCTGAAGAAGGCCCTGCGTGGCCGAAACGCGTCTCGGATTTCACCCTGTCTTCATTTTCCATGGAAAAGGGTATTTTTGTTTTTCAAAACAGTATTTTTGTCATGAAAACGTCAACAGGAAACTCTGAAAATCTCTGTGCACGTATGTTAAGAATGTATATGTATAATGTATTCTCCGATTGAAATGTGTTATTGATTGAAATGTGTTATTGATTGAAATGTGTTATTGATTGAAATGTGTTATTGATTGAAATGTGTTATTGAGCGTGGCTAGCCTCGATAGCTTCTCTCGCTCAGACAGAAGTAATAAGTGACAGGCGCTGAAAGCTCATTGTGACGAAGTGTGCGAACTACTGTCAGAGTAATGTTAGTATTTTACACACCTGAATTACAAGTACAGAGTGCGTTGCCAAAGGACAGCGGCCATTATTGGTTTGAGAGGTCCATTACCAAGAAAGAATGATCAGTAGAACATTTTGTAAATACATTCAAGTCAATGGAGCGTTCTACTGCTGCTGTGAGGAGCTGTATGACAAACTATAATTAGATATTCTAATATTCAAATTAATAATCTCTCCTTCACACGTTTTTTTTTCAAATCATGTACCTCTCTCTCTTTTTACTGACAAACTCCAGACTATCACTTTAAGAATGCTACGTGTTAAAACTGGCTTTCCTAATAGATAAATATAGTTCCACCTCCCACCGTGTCGTTAACCACCGCTCATGTGTCTGGAGCTAGTACTTTGAATTCCAGTGAGTTTTAGCCCAGTTTAGGTCTGTGCCCTCAGGCCTCACGCTCTCACCTTTGTCCAAACTGATGACTTTTAGCCCTTCGATAGCTCAGTTGGTAGAGCGGAGGACTGTAGCGGCCACAGCTGAAATCCTTAGGTCGCTGGTTCAAATCCGGCTCGAAGGAGGTGCTTTTTAGGTCGAACGGTTGCATCTATGCTTGTTTACCCATATCATTATTTTATTTTATCTTTATTTTGAGTCGCATTATTTACTTTTAACAACTATATACCACAGTATTTGATAGTAATTAGATTCACAAATGATTCTTCTGTCGGAATGTCTTTTCTACTGGCCATTCACAGGTTTTGAATATTGTCACCACTTTTAGACACCTGTATGAGAAAATAATTAGACGTTAATTAATAAGAACTGACAAAGAAGATCCATTTTGAACAATTGATTGTGATTATTTTGACGATCATAAAACGTGTTGAAGGAATACAGCCTTTGTTTCATGTGGATTGGCCCAGGAATTAGACAAATTAGCTCAAAACTAGAATTATGACTTTTGACACTTACCATAGTTACCAGGACAAAACATTTCCGAGGCCCTCCTCTGCAACGTCAAATTGCAATATTTTGGTGTCACACGAACGCAGCCAACTAAAATGATTCAGTATTTGCAATCATATAAGCATCATCAACCGAAATGTGTCTTTAAAGTTTTCTTATAGATGTGCGCAGTTGTGTCGATTGAATTCATATCCATGCTTTTCTCCAGGTAAAACTCCAGAGGAAGTGGTGAAGAAGTATCTACAGAAAGTCAAGAGTCCGCCTGAAGAGGTGAGTGGGTCGTTTCGCACAGATTTGGAAACACTTTTGACTGCAGTTGTTCTGTTTATTCTCTCTGTCTCTCTTCTCTGGTCTCTCTCTGGTCTCTCTCTGGTCTCTCTCTGGTCTCTCTCTGGTCCCTCTCTGGTCTCTCTCTGGTCTCTCTCTGGTCTCTCTCTCTGGTCTCTCTCTCTGGTCTCTCTCTGGTCTCTCTCTGGTCTCTCTCTCTGGTCTCTCTCTCTGGTCTCTCTCTCTGGTCTCTCTCTCTGGTCTCTCTCTGGTCTCTCTCTCTGGTCTCTCTCTCTGGTCTCTCTCTGGTCTCTCTCTGGTCTCTCTCTCTGGTCTCTCTCTCTGGTCTCTCTCTCTGGTCTCTCTCTCTGGTCTCTCTCTCTGGTCTCTCTCTGGTCTCTCTCTCTCTCTCTCTCTGGTCTCTCTCTGGTCCTCTCTCTCTCTCTCTCTCTCTCTCCTCTTCTCTCTCTCTGGTCTCTCTCTCTGGTCTCTCTCTCTGGTCTCTCTCTGGTCTCTCTCTGGTCTCTCTCTGTCTCGGTCTCTCTCTCTGGTCTCTCTCTCTCTCTCTGTCTCTCTCTCTGGTCTCTCTCTCTGGTCTCTCTCTCTGGTCTCTCTCTCTGGTCTCTCTCTCTGGTCTCTCTCTGGTCTCTCTCTCTGGTCTCTCTCTCTCTCTGGTCTCTCTCTCTGGTCTCTCTCTCTCTGGTCTCTCTCTGGTCTCTCTCTCTGGTCTCTCTCTCTGGTCTCTCTCTCTGGTCTCTCTCTCTCTCTCTCTGTCTCTCTCTCTGTCTCTCTCTTCTCTCTCTGGTCTCTCTCTCTCTCTCTCTCTCTCTGGTCTCTCTCTCTCTCTCTCTGGTCTCCTCTCTCCTTCTCTCTCTCTCTCTCTCTCCTCTCTCTCTCTCTCTCTCTCTCTCTGGCTTTAGTGGTTCATTCCTGCGCACCGGGGCCTCATTCTTTCGTCTTTGTCCAAACTGATTGTCTTTACCCCTTCGATAGCTCAGTTGGTAGAGCGGAGGACTGTAGAGGACATAACAGGAATCCTTAGGTCGCTGGTTCAAATCCGGCTCGAAGGAGAATTTTATTTCATTTTTAGGTCAAACAGTTGCATCATATACTATTAACTCATTAACTGCCATTGACGTATTTGGCTGAGACCCTCTATTCCACTGGGGATTACAGGACAATAAAAACAGCTAGAAACAAAATAATTTTTGCTGATCAAAGTAGACAATCCAGTCTTTCAGAATCTGGTTTCATATTTCACATAGGCTTAGGAAATAACATTCTGTGGATCTTGAAAATCAGTGAAATCATCAAAAACGGCTGGCAGTCAATGAGTCAATAACTACTAAACTACATACTAAACTATGCTGCGTTCAGGTTCAGGTGACATACAATATTGTGATCACTCTCTCACCTCACCTATTCTGATATACACAGAGGTTTCTATTCGTTCCCTACATTTGTTCATTTGATCTCTGGTCTGGATCCTCTCTCTATTTTCTCTCTCAGATCGCTTGCTATGGCCTCTATCTCTCTCTGGTCTTTTTCCTTGATTGATCTCTCTGGTCTCTCTCTGGTCTCCTTCTGGTCTCTCTCTCTGGTCTCCCTCTCTCTGATCTCTCTTGCTTCTCTCTCTCTCTCTGGTCTCCCTCTGGCCTCTCTCTTTCTGGTCTCTTCCTGGTCTCTCTCTCTCTCCCTCTGGTCTCTCTCAACTGCACTAAACTAAATAAACTTATCTTCCACTGTTATGTTTTTATGACCCTCCATCGCTGGTGTATGTCCATCCTGTCAGCCTTTTCTTTGTAATTTGTTTCCCGTTTTCTCTCTAAAACTCTCTCTCTCACTGACCGTGGGCGCCCTCTGGTGGCTGTTTAACATAATGTAGCCTAAACTTTGGAGACCTATGAAAGTTTAAATCCACAGATGTAGGAACTCATGTGTTTATGAGTGACCTGCATTTTAACATTATAACATTAGAAGCCTGTCTCACATTTTTGGGAACATTTTAACTGCATGAAACTAAAACTCTGGCTCTGGATTAGCATGAGGCCTATCAAGACTCTATCAACATCTGCTAATACAAATATATATGTTTGTGTGTTCTGCAGGACTGTACCATCTGTATGGAGCCTCTGGGGGGGCCCTCGGGGTACAAAGGCCCCGGTGTGGGCCCCGTGTCCAGGGCAGAGTCTGTGGGACGCCTGGCTCAGTGCAGACACCAGTACCACTTCCAATGTCTGGTGGCGATGTACAACAACGGAAACAAGGACGGCAGGTACGGACACTCAGGAACATATGCATCTGGAATGTTCTGCAGAAAGAAAGCAGCAGCTAAAGATAATGTCCAATACATTTTACCATTTAGAGACTTTTATATTTTCTAAAACAGTAGGACTCTATACTTGACACTACTTTATATACTTGTTTAGACACTTATTACTTATTAGAAAACATACATATTTTGACCTCTACCCCCTCGAAAAAATGTTTGAGGAAAGGGAATAATGTATGAAGCAGCATGAGCTCCTTAGTAACTGCTAATTGCAAGTTCACCGTTTGTGCTCAATGCTGAAATCTGTGTTTGGTTTCTGTCCTGTCTCTTTTAAGATTCAAGAGCCAGTTTATTTTCCATTTGTAGTAAAACCAGATTGGAACCTGAGCCAGGAGCCAGTAAAATGTATTTATTAAACTTGTATTTCACCAGGAAAGTCCCATTGAGATTAAGAACCTATTTTTCAAGTCCTGGACAAGAGGAAGAAAGAGTCACGCATAATATTACAGATTATAAAAACGGATATATGTCAATGAAGATGTCTCAAGTGCTCTCAATCTGGATTCAAAAGAATTCAATTGAATAGTCATGCCTATGGACGTTGTGATGCAATAACAGTAACATGCAGAATTAGCTGAATCATTTGAAAATCTGACAAAAAGGTAAATGTTTTCATTAGCCAGATATATTAACACAGATATTTACTAAATCTGATATCTGTGTCTTGTGTCTTCGCCTCAGCCTGCAGTGTCCCACCTGTAAAACCATCTACGGGGTGAAGACGGGGAACCAGCCCGCGGGTAAGATGGAGTATCACGTGATCCCGCACTCTCTGCCCGGACACCCCGACTGCAAAACCATCCGCATCATCTACAACATACCACCGGGCATTCAGGTAACCACCACTCCTAATATTAAAGCTGGGGTCCCTAATTTTCAAACTACAGAAAATGTATTATAATCCATGTAACTAGTAAGATCTGGCTTAGACCCAGAAAACAGAAAAAAACTATTTAAACCTGTACGAGATATGGTCATAATATGTGTCTGTTGTTTTGAAGGCCAAATATTTATACACAGTGATTATTGGGGGCAAAATATTTGTTTTAATGTTCCTGTCTGTGAAAGACTGTCCTAGAATAAACGCACATGAATAAAATTTTCTCTTCCTGCAGGGACCAGAGCACCCGAACCCAGGGAAGCCTTACACTGCCAGAGGCTTCCCCCGACACTGCTACCTCCCCGACAGCGAGAAAGGACGCAAGGTTAGCATAATAATAACAATAATAGGAATGATATAAACAAGAGCTAGAGCTAGTTTTAAACACAGCTTCTGCTTCAGGTGCTCAGACTGCTGCTGGTGGCCTGGGACCGAAGGCTGATCTTCTCTGTGGGCACGTCCAGCACCACCGGAGAGTCCGACACTGTCATCTGGAACGAGGTCAAACACACACTTCTCTCTGGTCTCTCTCTGGTCTCTCTCTGGTCTCTCTGGTATCTCTCTTGTCTCTCTGGTCTCTCTCTGGTATCTCTCTTGTCTCTCTCTGCTCTCTCTCTGGTCTCTCTCTGGTCTCTCTCTGGTCTCTCTCTGGTCTCTATCTATGGTCTCTCTCTGTGGTCTCTCTCTTGTCTCTCTCTGCTCTCTCTCTGGTCTCTCTCTGGTCTCTCTCTGGTCTCTCTCTGGTCTCTATCTATGGTCTCTCTCTGTGGTCTCTCTCTGGTCTCTCTCTGGTATCTCTCTTGTCTCTCTCTGGTCTCTCTCTGGTCTCTCTCTGCTCTCTCTCTGGTCTCTCTCTGGTCTCTCAGGTCTCTCTCTGGTCTCTCTCTGGTCTCTCTCTAGTCTCTCTCTAGTCTCTCTCTGGTCTCTCTCTGTTCTCTCTTCTGTCTCTCTCTGGTCTCTCTCTGGTCTCTCTTCTGTCTCTCTCTCTGGTATCTATCGTTTTGGTCTCTGGTCTCCCTCTGGTCTCAGCAGTTTTGGTCTGTGCCCTCGGGCTTCATCGTCTAATCTTTGTCCAAACTTCTTTTTAACCCTTCGATAGCTCAGTTGGTAGAGCGGAGGACTGTAGTAGTCATGTCTGTAATCCTTAGGTCGCTGGTTCAAATCCGGCTCGAAGGAGGGAATTTTTTTTGTTTTTGGTTATACGGCCTCATTATATACACACAAAGACACTTTTCTCGACAATAACACACTCCACAGCTGAGACAAACAGCAGCGTGTGGGCGAGAGGCGTAACTTATGTTCAAACAGAAAAGCAATCAGAGAATTCTATAGATGAAACACAGCCAGCCCTAGTGTCTTTGTTTGAATCCAGTTCCACGTCACCGCAAACTCATGGAGGCGCTTGGATGCTTTGAGCCAAATTGTTGTGCCCTGGCCCTGTACTTCCTGGACTATTAGACGCACTTGAATATAAGCCGCAGGTTTTCATGTTGTAATGTAGTTGATCATGATTTAATGACACGATGTAAAACATATTAACCGTTAGCCTCCATGAATCATTCACCTTTATCTATTTTGACAATAAACAATTGTCTTATAGCTGCTTAAACTTAAAGGAGTCAAAACAATTAAGTCCATAAACTCTGACAACTCTACCACAATAGAAATACATATATTAGCCGCATCCCTATATTAGCCGGAGGGTACGATGAACTAGAAAAAAGAAGCAGCTTTTTGGCCGGAAATGTAACTTTATTAAAAACTCTCCAGTCCAATTTAAAACAGAAAGACACACAAGACAATAATTAACAAACCAACAGTGTCTCCACATCTTGGATTGAACTCGAGTGGCACTGAACTTGATGTTTGTCAGCCCCAATATTCTTTCATTTTCTGACTCGTTGATTCGACAAATATAATTGTACATCAGGGTCCTCAGTGCAGTCTGTACAGTGTTCACTCTGAGATGACAAACAGCTCTGGTCCACTGTGGCTTTCTCAGAAGCACTCGAAAAGCGTCATTGGAGACCTCCTGCAGCTTGTGCAGACTGGCTGTTTTGTAGTCAAGAGGTGGGCCATATATATAAACAAAGAATATGAAACGCTTGAAAAATACTAAGAGTGACTGTAGAGCCCACAGTGATCCGTGTACTTGTATGTACAGTACTGTATATAGGCTCATTCCCACTGAGCAAAATCAAAACTCCAACCTGTGTGTCTATTAGCAGCTTGTCAGCGGCTTGTTTTATAACTGTACAGTGACATCATACTATTACAAGACTGAGACAGGAATTTTCTGACTTGTCTTCGGGTCCAAACAACACTCCAACCTTTCCCACTGAGGCCTGGATTGACATAGATCTGCTGCATGAAAACTCCCAGTGACATACTTCCAGTGAAATAGATACACATAGAAAAGTGTTATGTTTACTGTGGTGTAGGGAAGACCTTTCATTCATTTAACTAGTATTTATTTAACAGCCAATAGGAGCTCGCCTTCTTTATGAGCTGTCTCTACATTGCATTACTTACATAGAGGCTCATTTGACTTTTTTATGGTTCTAGTTTATCTTTGAGGACATTTTGAGGACCCACATATGCATTCCTACAATCGACCGATTTGCGACAGTAGCCATGTTTCATATCTCGACAATAAATATGAAAACATGGCTATATTGTGTATTACCATTGCTGGTATTTGTCCAGACTGGTCTTACCATCACTGGTCTTGTCTCTGTTGTATTCATTGACTATGAACTTATCTGTTACCTCACTGAATTCTTTTTCTTAATTTTTATATGTATTTCATTAATTTTCAAGTTTGCAGTAGCAGAGAAGCCAATCTGTAAATGCAAATAGGGGTGGGATTAAATCAATTCTCTTCTTCCCACTCCCTTTCAGGCAAAATTGGTTTTTGATTTTTGTTATAGGTAGATTTTTATGATAATATCAACTGTGATTCTCTTGTGTTTTCCTGAAATTAGAAAAATAGATGAATAAATCAAACTAATAATACACATATTTGACCTGTTAAAACATCATTAACGCTCTCTGTCTTCTTCTGTAGGTCCACCACAAGACAGAATTTGGCTCCAACTTGACGGGCCACGGTTTCCCAGACGGGGGACATTTGGACAACGTTTTGGAGGAGCTCAGAGCGCAGGGCATCACGGAAGACGATGGACTGACGGAGAAATGAACAAAACCAGCAACAATAGCAAGACATCTCAAAGACACAAAGAGGAGACGGACTCTGCCAGCACTTACACGGCCGACAGTGTGGGATATAGAAGACATGCCGTTTTCTTTTGCCGGGTTTTAACCACTTCAGATTTGACACGGGGCAATGGTTCTCAACGGGGAAGCTCTGAGATAAGTCTATGGAGGCTGGGGGAATATGGTGACACACACATGGAGTCTTGAGCTTAATCCTGGAACAAAACGGATTCCTTAGAAATTGTGACTAGTGTGGTAGCGAAAAGCTAAAGAAATTCAAATTTGACGAAGAGTTAAAGAAAGCAATGGAATTTAAGTTTTCTTCCTAACATACAAATAGAATCATTATTTTTATTGCCTTTGTAAGTAACAGGAAGTAACGAACCAGGAGTTTGCTTTGGTGTATGATGCTGGGGTACCTCACTATTAAACCACCAATAATCTCTAGTTCAGGGGTCTCCAACCTTATTCAATCGGAGAGCTACTTTTATACAAAAAAGAGGCAGAGAGCTACTTATAATAAAAAATCTATGCAAGAATTATGACAAAACATGGATAATACACACCATGATACTGTATAAACCTATTTATACTTAATGTAATTACTCAAAATGTATTCATTCAAGATCATTTATTCAATTCTAAATCCTTTGGCGAGCTACCTGAAAGGGGCTGGCGAGCTACTGGTAGCTCCAGAGCCACAGGTTGGAGACCCCTGCTCTAGTTATATCCCTAGTTTTTACATATATTTTTGGTCTGTGTCACATTTTTACATCAGCTTTTTCAGACAGAGAAGTGAAAGAAGAGGACGACCCTCTCTCGGCCAATCAGCTCTCAGCTAAAAAAATATGAATTAGTGGCTCACTGGTCTCTATGCAAAGTATGTAACATTTTGCATCTTCTCTAGCAAGTTTCTTATTTGTTTCTAGAAGTTCTTTCCGTTGCGACAAACAAAAGGAGTTACCCCAGCTTTAAACCAATCATATCTGCTAATACATATGAAAAAACACTAGGACTTATTTGCGTTTAATTCGCATCAAAACAACTGCTTGTCCAAACCCAGATCTAGCCCTAGTCTTAACTCATTGCCTGCCAGCCGTTTTTGATTATTTCACTGATTAGACCCACAGAATATTATGTGCTATGACTATGTAAAATATGAAACCAGATTCTGAAAAACTGGATTGTCTACTTTCATCCGCAAAAATAAGTTTGTTTCTTGCTAGTTTTGTCGTCCTGTAATCCTCCGTCAAATAGAGGGAAGTTTGACAGAAATCAGCAGTCTCAGACAAATACTTCAATGGCAGTCAATGAGTTAAGCTGGATGTCTGTGGCTATAGTTGGACTGCTCCACCATGCGTACGTCTACCTCAGCTTGAGAACCATTGCCCTGAAAAACCCATGAGCTCGAGGTAACACCCTGGTACGCAAGCAACGCACTCTTTTGCCTATCGACACCGGTACTAACCGCACATAGAAGAGAATGAGTGGTACTAACTTTTTAAAAAACAAGACATATTTGCTTTACTAAAAGACACAGGCTTTGATAAGATGGTCATGAGGTGTAGCGTTGGATATAGACAAAGAAAGGACAAGGAAATGGGAGTTTTTGAAGGAATTTGATTGGTTTTTGAAGATGGTTTTTGTGGAGAAAGTAGCGGGGAGAAGACAAGATGGCGTCTGGATGTAGTTTAGCGTAGGGGTATAGTAAATTAACTTCTTGTTTGGTTGTTTTAGGCTCAAGAATGATGCTTTGAAGTCATCTCTCTAATTCAATCTGTCCCGGTCAAGCCCTGGTCATATCATTACCGTAACACGTCACTCCGTATATATGTGTTCTATTGTTTTTTTTTTATTCATTCAGATTTATTTATGAGTTAAAATGATCATAATTGACAAAAGACCAAACAGGAAGTCTTACATTTGAGCCACTGTGGTCAAAAGGTTACATATATAAAAGGTACCAGTATTTACTTATGATGTATTTTAAGTTGTATTCCCTTATTTTAGAATTTATAAGTAACAATTGATGGATTTTTATTTGTAAATGTTAAGACAGACACTTTTGAATGACAGTGAGGTGTACAAGCAGTAGAAAGGTCCACATGTGTTTGGATTTTAAGACAGAAAGAAAGAATTGTTTGCTTTGAGTCTGTGGGAGATTCAGTAAAAAAAAGTCTAGTCCTTTCTGTTGAAGACCGTTGAACTGACAAGAAGCAGATTTTTGGATTACAACATCTCACCACTGCTATTGGGGTGGACATAAAGAATTAAAATAGGAAAAAAACATACATAAATTGTGAGAAATACATATATATATCCTGAATGTCTCCTACGGGTGATTAGTAAAGTGTCTATCTACCTATCTATACATACACACATAAACATGCAAACATCTGTAACAAAAAATACTAATTTAAAATAAGCACGAGTCAATAATAGCCATGTTTTAAAGCCTGATTTGAACGCACCCATAGTTGGGGTTGTCCCACAGTGGGGAAATTTCAGTGTTGCATCACAAGTTACAGACTGTAGGAATGACTGATCCTTGCTCTCAGTCAAGACAGAAATAAAATCACTAACTCTAGCATAAAAATAAGTAGTATAAAATCTGTATCTTAGGCAAAACAAGGAAAGAAGTCTAAAATCTCCAACTTTAACATGACTCATGTAAGTTCAAAAACTCCTGACTTGAATGAATCACTTTTATTTGACTGTTTAACAACAACCTGCTCAGGGACTACAGGTGTAAATCAGCACTGCTGCTACAGCCTGGTACAAAGCATCTCTCCTTTTTGGCAAATGTTTATTGTACACTGTCCCTGTAAAAAATAAAAACCATACAATACCAATTTAAAAAACAATGTGAAAAAAATATATATTTACAGTTATTGGACAACCTCTTCTTTACAACGGCAGCAATACACTTTCAAATCAGATGTGAAATCCTGCTCCCCTTTTCACACAAAGCAAATAATTCAAAATATATCAAATTACAGAAATAACACTGTCATAAACATGGTCTAAACTCTGTCTTAAAATGAGAAAACGGTGTGGACAAAACTTTCTACAAGCCATTTTTGCTCCATATCTCGGTGAATGGGTTATTGCTCGTTGAATAACCCGGTGGGGGGGTTATGCGTGTGAATTCTGCGTACATGTTCGCAGTTTCGTTAAATGAGTCGAGCTGCATTTGACTCAAAGGTACAAATCTTATGGTGAAGACAGAACATGTGTACTATGTATACAAGAAGCGGTCGCGAGCGTGACTCCGACACGATGGTACTGCCCCTATGGTAACGACGTTATTATTTTAACAAGGGTTAGAATGACACATTTCTTTGAATAGTATTTTCTTTATAGATTTAAGAACTTTTTACAAGACGTGTACATGTTTTTGTTATTATTATTATGCTGTTTTTATTTGTAATTATGGGTGCACTGTGCAGCTTTCCTGGTGGAGACTCTGCTTTGATCCCTCTTTTTAGTCAAATGGTTGAGATTAGATTGTGCTTTGTTAATAGTTATTCAGTAACTATTATACTACAGAGAGAGTGAAGAAGCGAGTGCTGCTTACATTACTAAAAAATATTAAATATGAGGTCATAATTGCTTGAATGGAGTGGTTTTTATCTTAATTTGAGCACAAAAACCAGATTTGCCAACGGGACAGAGCCATATAGTCTCATTTCAACAAGAACATTTTGCTTGTCCCATTGGAAAATCTTGTTTTAGTGTTTTTCTCTGGAATGTTCCACAGTATGGCCTTACAGTCTCCATGTGAGAAAGTGAATTCCTTTTGGCTACAAGTTACAAATCTATGGACGGCCCAGCTACAGTTTTAGGGTTTTAAGTAAAGCTGTGAAGACATGTAATTAAATATAGCGCAATTTACAGCAGAGAAATAGCATCTCCATGACAACAAGCAGGTCGCAGCCCCCCATCAGAAAAGTTGCGCAATGCACCCTTACGGTTTACGATATTGTTAAATGCATTGTTATTCTTGTATACAGTCTTTTAAGCTGATTTTGTCGTCTTTTCTTTGGAAAAGGATTATGCTGGTAGACTTCTTTTTGAGTGTTTGGACGAAAAATGTTAGAATTTGTAAAATGGAGTCACCTCTGCCTCTGTGACTTCAAGCAAGCAGCGGCTGTAAGTGCAGACTGCGAAACTAAAACGTGTCAAATATGAATTGGTCTTTTGTGTTTGCGTGCGCTGTGGCAATTTGCTTTTATAAATTTAACCTAAAATGTGTTTCGTTGCGACGTCCACCAGTGCAACCCTTTTAACATTGAGCATTTTGCCTTTTATTTTCATGGTGCCATTGTCTTTTTTATATCTGAGAGAGAGGAGACGGCCAGACAAGAGCGCTCCTAAACATGCAAAAAAAAAAAAGACATGGAAAATAAAAGTGTAAATACAGCTACATGTGCTGAAGTGTGAATGATTAATACATGGAGAATAAAGAATGGGTGAAATTGATTTGTTTTTGACTGTGTTTCTTCATATTCCCCTAATCAACTCTTTTAACTCTACCTTAAAAATTGGCCGAGTGTTATATTCAATAACATATACATATAGAAACTTATACACTATTATAACCTAGTAAACTAGTTCCTATCCCTCAAGACAGTCTTATTCTACCACTAGTTGGCCTCTATCACATATTTTGACCAGCTTTCTATGGGAAATGGGAAAAATAGGGAACCACCCTCACTCAGCCAATCAGCTCTCAACCCAAAGTGTCAAACAGTGGCTCGCAGCCTTTTTCTTACAAGTTTGCAAAAGATAACATTTGTTTTAATGATGGTAATTGTCATGTCTCAGTTGAATAGATTAAGCTTACAACTAAGTATTTTGTATTTTCTATGTCGACCATGAGAGCTAAAACACAAATATGATAACAAACCAGGCAACCAACACTGACTTATTAGCTTTTTCCCTTTCAGATTGGAGCTAATATATTTAAATGCATTAACGATGTCTTCTGAACAGACTTGACAAACCCAGTCTGAGTCAAAATGTCCCCACTGTGGGACGAATAAAGGCTCTCTTAACTTTAAAACATGCAGTCTGTAGTTAAAACCTATAGTCTGATAGCGCCCCCCAGAGGACAATTATATTTGAACCTTTTAACATGTTTGCACACTTCCTGTCTTTTTGCACAGCCTGAGTGATTCTATCTATGCCAAATTTCTTCATTGTGAGATCAATAAAGTTTATCTGATCAACACTGCGAACTTGCACTGGGTGAGACGAGCCTTATGCCCAAAATGGACACGCGAGGGCGCTAGAGTTTCGGTATTGAGCAAAAAAAAAGACTAAATGCGAACGTTTTGTATGAATGTACGATTCGAAACACAACCTGGAAGTTTAATTGTCTTAAAATTTGCGCTTCAAACCGACCGTATAAGCAATGAGCTGCAAGTAAGCAACTACAACGGTTTTTCTATGTATGTATGTTTTGTTTGCTAAAGTACGCAGGTAAAGAATAGAAAAGTACTTCCGCATGTTTTCTCACCGTCCACTGCATAATGCACGTGAAATAATTCGTTTAACCTGTAAAAATCACATGGCTAACAGGAGCGCACCCCTGCATATTTAAACAGATGGTTCAGCGTATACTCTCATCCCCTTCGATAGCTCAGTTGGTAGAGCGGAGGACTGTAGGTCTGTTCACCAGAAGCGGATATCCTTAGGTCGCTGGTTCGAATCCGGCTCGAAGGAGGTGACACTTTTTCGATCTGCTTTGTTAACTACAATGTATGGTTTTAATACAGAGAGCTTCTAAACAATCCTGCAGCCATCTTGTGTGTCCACTTTCTGACTGAAATGAAATCAAATCCAACATGTAGCCATTTTGATCCCTTTCAATTGTTTTATTGTAGAAAACATTAATTAATTCATTCATATATAGGAAGATTTTCCCAAATTTTAGGAAAAAACCGTCCTCTTCAGTTTTTGCAGGACTTAGTCTTGATGATCCAACCGGAAGTAAAATATCTTCCTATCCATCTTTAAAGTAGTACTAGAATTTAATATGCTGCTATCCAGAATATATAACTATAATATGTGTTTATAATATTTCGGGTGTTCATTTTGACATGTTCAGATGAATTATGGTAAAAAAAAAACGGCTTTAAAGTGGCACCTTTTAAAAAACGCTAGGGGGCGCCAAAATGGCGTCGATGACATAGGGGAATGAATGAATGAATACTTTTATTTTGAGCCATGTCAGACAAGAAGAAGGAACAACAGCAAAACAACTGAATAGAAAAAAAACAAAACAAAAAAACAATACAAAACAAATAAACAATAAATAATAAATAACAAAAAGTCAGCTCGAAAAGGAGTGGGAAGAAGTTAAGACTTTTAAACTCCCACCCCCTATTAATTATTCTAATTTAATTAACTTAAATTATGGTTGCTATAGCTTAGCTTAGTCAGTGGTGCAGTTATGCAAGAGTGACATTCAAGTTAATATGCCCTTGATTTATACAGTACATGTATAATAAGTTTATATTCTTGTTACCTTAATATTTTATATGCCTTTAGGTGTCATAACGTCATCATCATCACCACATATCCATATAATTTTCATGTTTATAATTTTCATTATCATGTGTATTGTATCAATTAAATAGGATTATAGAATATTGTATATTTACTATTTAATAAATGTATTACTGATCACTAGTGTTATACGTGAGTTAAATTTGATCATTGGTGCTGATGGGAGCAAGCTTGTATTTAGATGGTGTTTTATTTATAAAGGGTGTCTCTGCGTCCACAGATCGGCCTCCAGAGGGAGCAGCCTCCAGAGGGAGCAGCCTCCAGAGGGAGCAGCCTCCAGAGGGAGCAGCCTCCAGAGGGCGCAGCCTCCAGAGGGAGCAGCCTCCAGAGGGAGCAGCCTCCAGAGGGAGCAGCCTCCAGAGGGAGCAGCCTCCAGAGGGCGCAGCCTCCAGAGGGAGCAGCCTCCAGAGGGAGCAGCCTCCAGAGGGAGCAGCCTCCAGAGGGAGCAGCCTCCAGAGGGAGCAGCCTGTGAGCTGCGCAGCCTCCAGAGGGAGCAGCCTCCAGAGGGAGCAGCCTGTGAGCTGCAGATCTTTGTTACGTGTCCTAATCTGTGCATTAAAAGAGACAGTATGTGGGGGTCCTCTGCCAGAGGGTTCCTCCAGCAGCAGAGCCCCCCTGCCTACCTGTACTTTGAGTTCTGTGAGTTCTGTGAACATGCTCAAATTGTAGCTGGCTACCGTCAGCACCAATGCTTCAACCAGGATTCATTTATTTCTTTTGCAACAATAGATGATGGATTGATATGTTGATGTAATGACGCCTATAACAAAAATAGTGACAATCAAAAATAAAAATAAAAAATACCTTAATAACCCCAATAAATGCCCTAATATAGACACATCATATTATTATTATTGTTAGACCGTATTATACAATAATAATTATAATAGAAGAGTATAGTAACAGTATAGGACAGTATAGTAATAAAAGCACATATAATATATAGTTATATAATAATTATAATAGAGCAGTATAGTAATAATGGTAATAGTACATATAATATATGATTTGGTTGATGAGATCAATTTTCCCTTTCAAATAGTTTAGAATTATAACAATTTAAACCCCCATTCTCACATTCCTGTATGATGAAAATACCATTTTTTTATATGCTGATTTGAACAGATGGATAGTTGGACATTGCTTGAGTTCGACACACAATTTGTTCCAAAGTTTCACTCCACACACACACAGACACACACAAACTTTTCCTGGTGGTTCTCACAGCATGTGTGATCATGAATGACCTCTCACAGCAGCAGCAGCAGTCTTAGCTGGAAACTGTAGGAGGTTTCACTGTCATCTGAACAAGGTATAAACATATTTTCATCCGTTTTGTACATAATAGTGTGCAACTCTTTTAACCTTTTAGCCTTATTTGTGAGATTCAAGCTAATTAGTGTTGGGCAAGTTAGCTAACTCTACTTGATATCATAAAACATGCTAACAAGGCTAATATTCGTTTTTACATTATGCCAGTCTCACTTTGGTTGCCTTAGATTTATTTACCACAATGTACATTGTAATATCCATAAATGCTAACACCTATTAACGGTTTAATTAGCATTTTTATCAATGATTGCATCACATGTAGTCTATGTTTTCAACTTCTGCAGCTTTTTGTTCATAAAAGTAAAATATTTATTTAATTCAAAGCAAAGGAAGGTTTCTCACCCATCAACTGTACTTCTTAGCAAGTTTTCCCGACGTTTCGTCCTCAACCTAGCGGACTTCTTCAGGGAATGAATTCTCGGACCGCGCGTTGGAGATTTATAACCTATGGGTGTGGTTAGCCACACCCTAATCCTGATACTAACTCGTAAACAATCTAAGGTCTGCTTGATGTAGAAGGGAGCAGATCTAACGACCCTGCTGAGGCTAACGACCCTAACTCATTAGCATGTCACAGACCTATTGTCTGCTGGGATGCTCACGTGGAGTGCAGGTCTCACCCCTCCTAACTCATTTGCATGTCACTGACCTTGTCCCAAGTTAGGGCGTTGTTTTTAGGATGTCGTCATAGATGCGAGGCAAAACAAATCTTAACCCTCCTCCTCTGTTAAGAGAAGGTTTTTGTTTCCTCACAAAAATGGCTTCTTTCACTCCTCTCTCAAACCAATTCTTCTCCCGAGCCAGAATTTTAACCTCTGTGTCATCCACCGTGTGGTTGAGGGCCTTGAGGTGGAGATGAACAGCCGACTGTGGCCCACTAGGGTTTTCTCTACGATGTTGGTAAAGTCGTTTCTGTAGAGTTTGTTTGGTTTCTTCAATATAGTGGTCAGTGCACTCCTCTTCACTACATTTAATTGAATCCACCACATTGCTCTGTTTGTGTCTGGGTGTTTTGTCTTTGGGATGCACTAATTTCTGTCTTAACGTGTTGAAAGGTTTGAAATACACAGGGATTTTGTGTTGCCTAAAGATTCTTTGTAGTTTCTCTGAAACTCCCGCCACATACGGTAAGGACACCCCTCTTCTTCTACTTTCTTCTGTCTGTTGGCCTGTGTCTCTGGCCTTTCTCGTCCTTTGGGCTTTAGTAAAAGACCACTTGGGGTAGCCACATCTGGAAAGTGCTCTCTGAACATGTTTGGTTTCTCTGTTCTTTCCCTCCGAGCTAGTGGGGACCTGGTGGGCTCGGTGTTGAAGCGTTCTAATGACCCCAAGTTTGTGTTGTAGCAGATGATTTGAATCAAAGGCCAAGTACTGGTCAGTGTGAGTGGACTTTCTGAAGACCTCAGTCTCTAATTGTCCGTTCTCCAGTATGATGACCTTACAATCTAGAAAGGCGAGTCACTCTCCTTAGCATCCTCGCGAGTGAAATTTATAAAAGGGTCAACCGAATTAATGTGTTCTGAAAATGGTTCCACTTCCTGTTTCTTTAACTTAACCCATGTATCGTCTACATATCGAAACCAATGGCTTGGCGCTGTCCCTTGGTAAGAGACAAGGGCTTGTTCCTCCAGTTTCTCCATATACAGATTGGCCACTATAGGCGAGACTGGGGAGCCCATCGCACAGCCATGAATCTGTCTAAAGAAGGTGCCTCTAAATTGGAAATACGTGGTGTTAAGACACATTTCAAGTATTTCACAGATGTGGTCAGCTGTGGTCAGCTGTGAAATACTTGAAATGTGTCTTAACACCACGTATTTCCACATTTAGAGGAAATACATTTTTTGCAGAGTTTTATCTACAGTTGAGCTATGAGAGGGTTGTAACACAAAATAGAGAAGTAAACTGCGCTTGCTTTTTGTCTGAGGGACAGAAGCAACAGCATGAATAGAAATTGTGTTAAAGTAGAATCAAAGTGACTAACCATAGAGAGTAACTACTGCATAACAAGCTGTGTACAGGAACTGAGACACTGCACCATTGACCAGAAGTGCATCGCAAATGACCTGATGTGCTTCAAGTGAAAAGACTGTATCTGGAGATCCTGATGTGCATCTGGAGAGACCAAAACCATGGCTTGGACCCTACTGATGTCCAAGATGACATCTCTCTATGACCTGACCTGATGACGACTGAGACTCACCCTCAGGGGACCCTGAGGACCTGAGGACCTGAGGATCTGAGGACCTGAGGATCTGAGGACCTGAGGACCTGAGAGAGAAAACTGGGGAGTGATGTTTATATTTTTAAAATCATACATTGATGAGTGCTAAATGAGACAGATACTCATGATTCTTTCTTTTGTTTTTGTTTGTCCCTAGCTTCTGGACATCTGATGATCTATTGGACACAGCCATTTGCAGAACAAGAACCAGCCAATGAAAAACGTCTATTGCTGATGCACTTGCTAGAACCACAACTGTGACAAATGCAATATACATGTTAAGTATTCAGACATTTGACAGACAAAAACTTTGACTTTTTTGTCTGGGAGACTGAGCAACTGTTAAAATGTTTTAAAATGATAAAGTATGAGTATTGTAGCGTTTTAGTAGATGTTAAATAGTAGTAAAAAAGTAGAATTGTCCTTCCTTTGTTGTTCATAAACATATTTCCACGTAAGAGTTAAAATAGTACCATACAATGTTATCCTTTTGATAGATCAGCTAAAATATTAGAATCAGAGTTATTTTAGAGATATTAAAAGTGACAGAAGTCACAAATTAGAAATATGCCTTTGCTCAAGCTGCAACCGAGCTTTGGAGCCACAATAGTGTAGAAATAGAATTAGATAAATGCATCAACCATAGATGCTTTCAAAAATAGAGAATATTTGTAGCCAGTGCTAATATCAAATGGTAAAGGGACCATTCCACAAACATTTACTTCAAAAGTAGATAAAGTTACTTACAGTTTTATGTACAGTTTTATTAGATACTTGCCAAATTCACTTGTGTTCAAACATGAGTGAATGTTGACAATGCAAAAAGTTTATGAGTGTAGCCGAGATTAATGCCTAGATCAATGAGATAGATTAGAACCAACAGAGATTCAAAAGCATTTTGATGCATTTGTGTATAGCACAAAAACACAAAAGTAGATATTTAGATATTGAGAAGTTTCCAGCACAAACAGCATTGTAGAATAACCCCAAACCTGCTAAAATAGATTAGCTCTTGTAAGGATAATACCAATTTGAGTGGTGGGCTGGTGTCCTGGTGCAGTGGTAACAACCTGGAGCTGAACGCCCAGAAGACAGTGGAGATGATTGTGGACTTCAGGAAGAGCACTGTCCCCCCGCCCCCACCCTCCGTGATGGACTCCCCCATCACCTCTGTGGAGTCCTTCCGTTTCCTGGGCACCACCATCACCCAGGACCTCAAGTGGGAGCCGACCATCAGCTCCCTCATCAAGAAGGCCCAGCAGAGGATGTACTTCCTGCGGCAGCTCAGGAAAGCCAAGCTGCCTGCACAGATGTTGGTGCAGTTCTACACGGCCATCATCGAGTCCATCCTCACCTCCTCCGTCACCGTGTGGTTCGCTGGAGCCACAGTCAGGGACAAACAGAGACTACAGCGCATTGTGCGCTCTGCAGAGGAAGTGAGCCTTCCATCGCTGCAGGACCTGTACGTCGCCCGAGCTCGAGGCCGGGCTGGTCGTATCACAGCCGACCCCTCTCACCCTGCACATGGACTATTCCAACCACTCCCCTCAGGCAGGAGACTGCGGTCCATCAGGACTAGAACCTCCCGCCACAAGAACAGTTTCTTCCCCTCTGCTGTTGGACTCTTGAACACTTCTTAACCTGTCCCCCCGCCCTTTATAAAGTCACTTTACTGCCCATCATACGTCACTTTACTTCACTGTACTGCTGTCACCTTACATTGTGTGCACCATGTGCACTTGTATATTGTAAATAGTAACTGTAACTCTATTTTAAATTTAAATTTATTCTTTAGAAGTGTTTTTTATTCTTATTTTTATTATCTCTTTTTGACTGTTGCACTGAGCCAAAGCAATTTCCAAGTCTGTGACCTCCCGTTACTTACGTGGCAATAAAAATGATTCTGATTCTGAAAAATGATTCTGATTAATGATGTACATTCATCCCAAACTGCCTGACAATAATATCTTTAGATAATAAAAAGTAATAAATCACTGACCACTATAGAAGTGTAAATGTTAACCATTTGCCTTACTGTGTTCACAGTTTTATTCCTGAGAATGTAGAATAGACATGGAGCAAAATCCCACTGATAATGAAAGTAAACTAAAGAGAGATTTATTAGATTAAAATGTATGTTTAAGAATATGGCTCAATATAAGCAAATATACAAACATATTTGTAAATAGATTAGAATAGTTTTAAACTATAGTGAATAATGAAAGTAAAGTACACAGTCTAAGATTAGAATTAGTGATAATAATACAGTGAAGTGAAGTGTAAACAATCAGCATTAGAATAAAAGTATAGAGTAATAAAAGTGAAATTAGCTTCTAATTTGAGACTCAGCTCGTTTTTTGTCTGTGTTTTGACTGAATCTGCTGAGTTCTTGTGTGTCCAATAGTGTGTTTGTTTGTTCTTATTTTTGATTTGTTTTTGTTTGTTTATTTACTTTATTTTTGTTTTGTGTTTTCCCAGGATAGAGGATAAAATTCACTGATATTGATTTGATGATTATGAGTTTAATGCATACATTTTCTTTGTTTTTAATTTAAAAAAAAATTAAGTTTTTTTTTAAAATTGTTTTTTTTTTTTTTTTTTTTCACTTTATTTATTGATCAAATTGAGTGATCACATGTGATTATGTGATCAAAGGGGAGGGTGTTAGTATTAGATAGCAATATGGCCTACGTGCAGGACTGTACAAGGACTCTACAAGGACTCCATGTTATGACTATGATGTGACTGTCTCTTTGTGACACGTATGTCTTTCGATGTGTGACGTGACAATGACTATATAAACTGTGTACTGCCTTTATTCTGTCTGAGAGAAGGAAACAAAGTAAACCAGTGGAACTTGAGAGAAACTTAAATAAACTTCCAGAGTTTGGCGCACCACGATCCGTCTCTGTCTGCTAAATCCTAACAGGGCTACTCCGAAAAAAGTCCCATAGATCTCAATGTATATTAAAACATTACGACCTCAGCTGACAGAGAACCTACAGCGTTCTTCTTAAATCCTTCGGTTTTCTTTAAATCCACACTTTACTGCCACAAACTCGGCTCCCTTTCTTCCCGCTCTGGCTCCGCTCTTCCGCTGCTCTGATGATCAGCTCTGATTGGTCAGAGCGCGGCCGAGCCCCTCTGTGCGCGTGCATGAAAGCCACACACGCACGTTTGGCGCAACGCATATGAGATATCTCCCATAATGCGTTGCGCTAATCCACTGTGCAGAACCGGGAGGGCCAGACGATGCCCAAATATAGGCGAGTTCAGATAATCTCCCGGTCTCCGTGAAGTCCCATGCGCTACTGAGCACGAGCCATTCATTTGAATAGGGCGCCATCTGGGATCGACGGGGCTTTGTCACGTGACCGTAGGATCCCTCTATTAAATACAAAAAGAAGAGGTTAATTATTGCATTTTCTAGTTCCCAAAACTGGTTATTAATTTTTAAATGTCTTAAATGAAATAAAATAAAAACCCAAAATGGTCATTTCTGTATTTTGCCTTGTGCCTGATAATGCAAAATAGCCTTTTTTCGATTTTCCATTTCCCTTCAAAAATAGAAAATGCATTGAACGCAAAAGTACACGGACCGGCCAGGCCTGCTGTCCAGATAAACAGTTATAAAGTGTTTTTAATTAAATATATGAATCTCTATTATCTCTAAGGTTGATCTAATCGTGGTTTAATGCATATTAAATCTGCACATTTACTTGTGTTTCTTGTGTCCACAGATTGGGGGCAGTGACTGTTCCTGGTTCCTGTGTTTTATTATATATTTATATATAATAAATATATATATATATATATATATATATATATATATATATAATAAAACACAGGAACCAGGAACAGTCACTATATATATATATATATATATATATATATATATATATATATATTATTTTTATTGTCCACTCACCTTTGGCCCTCCGCGGGCGGTTATCCCTCTCTAAGCTCGGGTCCTCTACCAGAGGCCTGGGAGCTTGATGGTTCTGCGCAGTATCTTTGCTGTTCCTAGCACTGCACATTTCTGGACCGAGATGTCCGAGGTTGTTCCGGGGATCCGCTGTAACCACTCTTCTAGCTTCGGGGTCACTGCCCCGAGTGCATCGATCACCACGGGCACTACTGTCACCTTTACCCTCCAGCTCCTCTCTGAGACCTTGGTATTTCTCAAGCTTTTCATGTTCTTTTTTCCGGATGTTACCATCGCTTGGAATTGCCACGTCCACCACCACGGCTGTCCTCTGCCCTTTGTCTACCACCACAATGTCAGGTTGGTTTGCCATTACCATTCGGTCGGTCTGTATCTGGAAGTCCCACAGGATCTTTGCACGCTCATTCTCCACCACCTTTGGAGGAGTTTCCCACTTAGACCTTGGGGTTTCCAGCCCATACTCTGCACAGATGTTTCTGTACACTATGCCAGCCACTTGGTTATGGCGTTCCATGTAGGCCTTCCCTGCCAGCATCTTGCACCCTGCAGTTATGTGTTGGATCGTCTCAGGTGCCTCTTTGCACAACCGACACCTTGGGTCTTGTCTGGTGTGGTATATCTGGGCCTCTATCGCTCTGGTGCTCAGGGCCTGCTCCTGTGCAGCCATGATGAGTGCCTCTGTCCTGTAGGCCAGCCCTTTCTAGCCATTGGTAGGACTTCTTGAGATCAGCCACTTCTGTTATGCTCCGGTGGTACATGCCGTGTAGGGGCTTGTTCTCCCATGATGGGCTCTCCTCCAGCACTTCCTCATCTCGCCACTGCCTGAGACATTCACTGAGTACGTCATCCGTTTTGGCCTTCTCCATGATGTAGTTATGGAGTTTGGATGTTTCGTCCTGGACAGTGGCTCTCACACTCACTAGTCCTCGGCCTCCTTCTTTATGGCTTACATACAGTCTCAGGGTGCTGGATTTGGGATGGAACCCGCCATGCATGGTAAGGAGCTTTCGAGTTTTAACATCCGTGGTGTGAATCTCTTCCTTTGGCCACCTGATTATTCCTGCAGGGTATCTGATCACTGGCGGGGCGTAAATTAATGTTAATTGCCCGGGCTTTGTTCTTGCCATTGAACAGGTGTTCTGCCGAGTTGTGCCGCTCTGCCAAAAAGTGACGCTTATGTAATGCTCAGCTGTTAATGATGTAATGCAAACCTGCGCGCATGCGCGTCTCACGGCAGCCGAAACAAACCAAGATGGCGGACAGAAAGTCCGAGAATTGCTTTAAAAGTTATAATACGAACGAAATAAGACACAAATGTCACTTTTAATGCAATTTGAGGCGAGATGTTGATGGTTCCGTGTTGGCACATGTGGGTTTTAAGAGTCAAACTTTCGGGTAAAGTTTAGTTTAAGCAGTCAACTGCACCTATGAAACCACTATGCTTATGTTATGATAGCAGTCCTGGCAGCTGACGTACGTCCTTTTTTGCGCATGCTCAAATCAGACTTGTTTTCTCTTCTACCCGAAGCTGAAAACACACGTGAGTATGGCTCTCCGTTTTCAAATGGCATATATTTCGATTGTTTTAACGTTCTATCAGCGAAATTCATCCTGTGATTTGATAGGGGCTTAGATACATCGATATGTAGTGAAACAAACGCTGTGTAAACGACTTTTTAGTAAAAGTCGTTTACAGCTGGCGTGTGAGATGGACCAACATGCTATGTAACGCTACCAACAGTGATTCATTTTAAATATATAGTACTTTTTCAGTGAAGTGCATGCATAGGGATATTATTAAGTTTGACCCATAAGTTTGACCGCGTTTTCCTTGAAGCAACCGAGCGCGTTGATTTGGAGGGAAAGCTTCAAGAAAACGCGGTCAAACTTAATGGTGCAAGCACTGACCTCACGGACGCTACTAAATTCTATACAATATGAAATTACTTATTCAACTTTGTACCAACTCCTGGGTTCGAAATTAGATTTTGGGGAAAATGTTACGTACACGCGTAATGCATGAATGAATACGTGGTCATAATCCCTCCAGAAATGTATTAAGTTTCTCATATTTGCTCGTGGAAAGATAGTAACATTATGTACTAGTAGAAAAGAGAAATTACTTTTCATTTATGTGTGTGGGTTCTCATGCATGTAGCCTCATTATTAATAATTTTACATATGGTCTTATCTCTTGATTTCTAATGGTGAAAGTAATTTAATACCAATACAAAGTCAGAGATTTCCATAATTTAAATATGATAATTTTGTGTGGGTTTTTTTCAAACAGTATTTGACGTTATTACTTGGTAGTCATTTAACAACGTCTTCCCTTTTTCTCCCCAGACCCATCCTTGAGCCTTTATCTTTCGATATCTAATGGTGAATGGAATTCAATACTTATACAAATTCAGAGATTTCCATCATTTTTCAAGTAAGATATTTTAGTGTGGGTTTTGATCTGTTTTTGATGTTATTATTTGGTAGTCATGTAACAACGTTTTCTCTTTCTCTCCCCAGACCCATCCTTGCACTTTTTGTTCACTTCCTCATTTACATCTACTTTTGATTAATAATCAAAATGGAGCATAAATGGGATGAAATGTTTCTCCTCCTCACAGAGAACATTTATCCTGAGGGAATGAATAAATTTCAAAGAGACAACTGGAGGAAGTACTCCCTTAAGTTTACAGTGAAGGGTAATAATGCATTTGCTAGTATGGTTATACATGTCTTATTCTTCTTCTGTTGTTTTCATATAAATTATTTTTTATAGATGGTGCTGTTCTATGGCAAAAGAAGAGCCATTAAAACCAGACATGAGGCGCAGAAACTATTTCAAGAGTTTCATGCTACGCCCATGGGAGGCCACACTGGGATGAAAAAAACCCGACATGCCATTTCTTCCAGGTTTTACTGGCGTGGCATGACTGTGATGATTGACAATTGGGTATGTGATATTATTTGTCTGTACAATTCCCTTCCCTAAAGCCTGTTCGTTTTAAGATTGCTGAGTGTGACCAATGTCAACGTGAGGGAAAGCCTCTGGGTACAGTTGCACCACTCCAAACAATAAAGGTAATTGTATTGTTACTATTCAACCACCAATGTACCTTTATGCATTACAATCCTGTTGGCATGTAGGTGTCTGCTGTTTGGGAGCTGCTGGGGATTGACCTAACTGGGCCCTTCCCCAAAACTACTGATGGCTATCAGTACATATTTACAGCCACTGATTATTTTTCAAAGTGGGTAGAGGCTTTCCCATTGAAAACCAAGACGGCTGCGGAGGTTGGGCAAAGACTTTGCTCTATAATATACAGGCATGGGTGCCCGAAACGGATCCTGTCTGATCAAGGGCGGGAATTTGTAAATGAGGTGAATATTGCTTTTTGTAGTTGTTACTTTTTTTTGTTCATACTTTCTTATTCATTTAATTTTCATTGTTTTAGCTCAATTGTAATGGGGGGTTTGTGTGTAAACAGACTAAAAAGTGGTAAATTAAAATGGTGCCGAATAAATAAACTGAAAACTAAACTGAGAGCAGGCTGGTGTGGCCAATAACGATGAAACAGATGTACAGTTAAAACCAGGTTTATTACAAAACTAAAAACAAGCTCTAAAATGCTATTTAAAAAGGTTAAGAAATGGTAAAGTTAGTTAAAACGAGGCACAACGAGGAGGAGGCCCGAATCCCGCAGCAGGAGTCGCTGGGGGGGGGGGGGGGGGGGGGAGGGGAAGATCGTCCGGGTCCTGCACTGCCCCACGGATGGTGCACCTGGGCAAAAGGCAAAGGCCAGCACACAAGTCCACTACACCCAACCGCTAAGGCCCAAGGCCACTCCGTATAGCGGAGTGCTGCGTTTGGCGGTACTCACTGACAGGGAGAGCTCCTCGCTCTCCCACTGCTCGATTTGGCCTCTCAGCTTTCCCCCAAACCGCGCTTGTTCCTTCCGTCCAGCGCAGATCTCAAGCCCTGACACACAGCACACACAGGCCAGCCACACACGATACTCCAAACACTTCAGCCCAAAGCTTCTGATGCACCATGCACCACACACATAGATAGAGCAGTACTCACTGGCAAGGCAGGGTCTGATTGCCCTGCCTCTACGTGTATTCCGTGTTGTCTGGCTGGGTGCGCGCTGTTGTCCTTCCTCACACGGTGCTCTCTCCTCTGCCTCCCGTCTCAACTGCGTCGACTCTCCTCTTGTTGTCCTCTCTTTCCCGCTGAACAACAGGTGTGTTGATTGCATAGGTGGTGGATTGGTGCGTTGCAGCCAGATGGGCGGGGGGGGTCACCATAGTAACCAACGAGGGGGCGTAACTCAAAAACATGGGAAAACAAACACAGCAAACCAACAAAAATAGCACACACGCCATCCCCTTGTGACCCGATTACACCCCCCCACACCTTGTGTTTGCCAGTCCCTGCAACACACGGAACTAGTCTTCATAACGGGGCGGTCGTTGTCCAAAGTTCACACGGGTTGAACGACGGGGCAGATCTTGAGGCGCATCGAACTCCTCCTCAGGTACATTTGGCATAAACCCGTATAGTACAGGAAAAGCTGGCCCCGGCGTTTGAGGGGACAGTTCTCTGGGAGGTGGCTCTGGGTCAGCCGGAGGGACAGTACATAATTTTAGGGCATTCCTGTGCACAGTCTGTTCGCGGCCCCCTTTTTCAGGACGTACTTTGTACACAACCCCAGTGTTCCCCACACTGTCCAAAATCACGTGGGGGTCAGGGTCCCACCATGGGCTTAGCTTACCCCTCCCCTCCCGGCGTCTATTGCGTAACCACACACGTTCCCCAGGTACCAGAGGCAAGGCTTTAGCTTTTTTGTCAAACTGTCTTTTGTGTTGGGAGGCTGCATCAGCTGCTCTTTTCCGAGCTAGGACATAGGCCGAAGAAAGTTTATTATGGTGGTCTTTTACCCACCCTGTAAGATTGTATGGCTGCTGCTGGGAACTTAAACCTAGGCCTACGTCTACAGGAAGTCGCAGATGTCTACCGAACATCAGAAACGAAGGGGCATTACCTGTGGCACTATGCACCGTGTTATTATATGCATGAACCAACTCTGGTACGAAACTTTGCCAACAGCGCTGTTTTTCCTCTTCTAAGGAGCGGAGCATATTTAGCAAGGTTTGATTGAAACGCTCAACGGCGCCATTGCCCGCAGGGTGGTAGGACGTGGTACGACTTTTAGCTATTCCATACAAATCACAAAGTTGTTGCATGAGGGCAGACTCAAAGTTTGGGCCACGATCTGAATGAAAACGCGCTGGACAGCCAAATGGCTGTATTATGTGCTTCCAAAGCATTTTTACAGTTGTGTGCGCGGATTGATCAATAGTGGGTATGGCCCAAGCAAAACGAGTGAATTTGTCAGTAGCAACAAGGATATTTTGATATGTGTCGGTGGGTCGGCCTAAGGTCAAATAGTCTAACCCAATAACTTCGAGCGGATAAGTAGTCTCAATTGGGTGGAGCGGAGCTTTTGGCTCAACACGGCCCCTTTGAAGGCAACACATATTACATCTCTCATTAAACGCTCGTACCTCCCCCTCCATACCGGGCCAGTAGAACTGCCGACGGATCCGGGCGAGGGTCTTATCGACGCCGCAGTGGGCCCCAGCCTCATGAAGCTTCCTCCAGACCTCCTCACACCTAGAACTCGGACACACAACCTGATTGTGCTCCTCATGGGTCAGTCCATCAATGACAGTCCGGTACAATAGGTCACCTCTCACCACCAACCTCTTCCATTGTTGGAGTAGTTTTTGGGCTCGTTGGGGGAGTGTCAAGCGGACAGGCCGTTTTGGGAAGTCCTTCCTCGCAACATACTCCTTGATCACCTGGATGTCTGGGTCAGCATCTTGAGCCTCTCTCCATCCAGCCTCAGGCACTATCTCGACGGCTGCTGCAGTAACTGGTCCCGTGTCAGACTCCTTCAATGGCCCCATGACCTGCCTTACAGGAGCAGGAAATCTGGACAGTGCGTCCGCATTGGTGTTATTTTTACCTGAACGGTATTTCACCGAATAGTTGAAGGAGGCAAGCCGTGCCACCCAGCGTTGCTCTACCGCTCCCAGGTGTGCCGTTTTGTAGATGGGCCAGGGGGTTGTTGTCTGTGTAGATGGTCAGCTCTGCTCCGGTCAGAAAATCCTTGAATTTTTCAGTCACAGCCCATTTAAGGGCCAACAGTTCAAGTTTAAAAGAGCTGTAGTTGGCATCATTTTGTTCGGTTGGATGGAGGCTTCTACTCGCGTAGGCTATTACCCGTTCGTGGCCATCCTGAACTTGCGATAACACAGCACCGAGCCCCTGATTACTCGCGTCTGTATACACAATGAAAGGCTTATCGTAATGGGCGTAGGCAAGAACAGGAGCCTGAGTAAGTGCAGCTTTTTAAAGAGTCAAATGAAGACTGGCACTCAGTAGTCCAAGTCACTTTTTTAGATTGTGACCGCTTATCAGCAGGGATGCCAGTTAAAAGTCTATTCAAGGGGCGTGCCACCTTAGCAAAACCTACAACAAAACGCCGGTAGTACCCCGCTAGTCCAAGGAACGCTCTAACCTGTTTGATAGTGGTTGGGACAGGCCAATCCAAGACCGCTTGGACCTTCCCTGGATCTGGTCTCACACCTTGCTGATCTACCACATGCCCCAGGAAGGTCACTTCTCGCTGTAGGAGTCTGCATTTGTCTGGGCGTAGTTTCAGGCCATGGCGCCACAGTCGCTCAAACACCTGATCCAGATGCTGGAGATGGGAGGAAAAGTCAGCAGAGTATATAATGACGTCATCCAAGTACACTAGCAGTGACTCTGCTATCTGTCCATTAAGGCATTGCTGCATCAATCGCTGGAATGTTGCTGGTGCATTACAAAGCCCGAACGGCATACGCTCAAATTCGTATAGACCGAGCGGCGTGGTAAAAGCTGTTTTTTCTTTATCATCAGGGTGCATATCGACCTGCCAGTAACCACTGGCAAGGTCCAGGGTCGAAAACCATTCTGACTGGCTTAGACTGGTCAGGGTCTCTTCAATGCGGGGCAACGGAAATGCATCTTTATGTGTTACGGCATTCAATTTCCTATAGTCTACGCAGAAACGCCAGCTGCCATCTTTTTTGCGCACGAGGACTATAGGGGCGGCCCAGGGGCTACAGCTCTCCCGTATAACCCCCTGTTCGAGCATACCTGCGAGGAGGGTCTTCATCTCCTTGTACAGCATGGGTGGAATCGGCCGATACCTCTCTCGAGTGGGGGCAGCATCCCCTGTCGGGATTCTATGCTGCACTATGTTTGTCCGCCCAAAATCCTCTTTGTGCTGCGCGAAAACACTCTCCCACTTCTGTAGTAGGGCGTGGAGCTCCCCCTGCTGTTGTGCAGACAAATCGGGCCGGTCCCCCAGTATGCTCTTCTCTGCAGGTAGTTCGGAGCTTAAGGGCTCAACGTTAGCATTCACCAAAGCCACCTGAACAACTCCGTCCTCTTCCACAGTCAGGGCAAGGTCATTAGTACCATGCACGTCCGAATCGTCGATATAGTAAAGCCGCCCCAATTTTTTAAATCGACCTATGGAAACACTGTATGGATGCGGATTACAAACGCGCACAGGAATTCTACCCTTTTTTACCTCAACCAGGGCCTTTGCAACACCCACGTCACCGACACCGACACCTGGCATAGCTTCTATGAGGGCACAGTAGTCTGCCCCACCAGGACCCATTTTTGCACGGCCCCATACCAGTAACTCACTCTTGGGAGGGACTGTAACGTTACGTTTAGAAGCCAACCTCACATGCCCTATCAGTCCATCTCCAGCAGGGGCAACCTCAATGTGGCGACAGGTGGCAAAGGCATCCCTCCAGGCTCTTTGCTTGTTGAAAGGCCCGGGGGAGAGCAGACTCCCTAGAACATTTAAACACAGTGTCCCAACAAGCCATAATTACATTCATACCAATTATTAAAGGGTGTGTACACTTCTCATCTTCAACAATGACTACCCCTCGTTCTGGGACCCCAATACCCTCAACCTCAAGGTCTAATACGGCATAACCAATATAGGGTATCTCTAGACCGTTGGCGGCCCTTAGTCGGAACAAGGTAGGCGCCCTGCCAAGTTTAGCTTGTGTAAAATGTGCCTTAAACACACTCTCTGCCATCAATGTAACCTGAGACCCTGTGTCCAAGAGCCCATTCAATTGAACCCCTTCAATGGCTATTTCTATTGTAGGACATTGGCCAACAAATGTTTCGGCGGCCCTTGTTGGTTGTGACATGTTCGCAAGCCCTGCTACTCGGACCTCAGCAGCAGGGGTAATTAGTTTAAAGCTGGTTCGGGTGTAGCTGCACCTCTACAGTATCGTGCTATGTGACCTGCTTTTCTGCAGCGGTGACAAATAGGTCTACCCTGTTCGTCCCGATCATTGTAGGGTCTGGGTGAGTACGGCCGGTTCCAAGTTGGATTTGGAGAACTAGGTTGTGGGGAGGCTGACTGCAGTAGTGGTTTAAGCTCCGCCACAATATCTTTCGTAAGCCCCTTCATCTGGGCCTGGACATCGTCCATGATCTCTCGCTTGAGTTGTTCCTTCCAGTCAATATCCTGTGGGGGTCTAGGGGAGCCATATTGTTTATTAATTGCTGAACACGTTACCTCTGGTCGTGGGTGGCCATATTCGGAGTCTAGCAGCAGGGCTTCCTGGCGCAGGTCAGCAAAATCCAGGTCGGGGTTGCGGCGAGCGTAGACTTTAAGAGCTTGGGCGAGGGGACCATCTCGGAGTCCAAGCAGCAATTGGTCTCGCAAGGCACCGTCGGAGGGGGCGCTCTCTAGGTCTTGATGTCGCAACCTACTACATAATTCACGTAGCCTTAATATAAAGGATTGCACATGTTCATCAGCTCCTTGTGAACAGCTAAAAAATGTGGACCTTAAAATTGGTACAGGGGTCTGGTCACCATAAAGTGAATCCAGGTATACAAAAATTTTAGCAGTCTGATCTTTTTCATCTGTATCCAAAACTAATTTGTCGCTTTGCCTCTCCCGTTAGCGCTCCCAACACAATACTTACTTTCCTTGCCTCTGTTAAATCCTGAGAGCCCAAAAGCCCTTTAATTTGTTCTTTCCAATCACAGTATTTTACGTCGCCATCTGGCCCTTTAAATTTCGGAAGCCAAGGCGCCCCAGGGTACACGGGCATCATCATATTAAATCCTTATTGGACACACCAGCTCTCAGAGAAATGAATCCTGCCAGCAACGCCAAAATATGTAATGGGGGGTTTGTGTGTAAACAGACTAAAAAGTGGTAAATTAAAATGGTGCCGAATAAATAAACTGAAAACTAAACTGAGAGCAGGCTGGTGTGGCCAATAACGATGAAACAGATGTACAGTTAAAACCAGGTTTATTACAAAACTAAAAACAAGCTCTAAAATGCTATTTAAAAAGGTTAAGAAATGGTAAAGTTAGTTAAAACGAGGCACAACGAGGAGGAGGCCCGAATCCCGCAGCAGGAGTCGCTGGGGGGGGGGAGGGGAAGATCGTCCGGGTCCTGCACTGCCCCACGGATGGCGCACCTGGGCAAAAGGCAAAGGCCAGCACACCAGTCCACTACACCCAACCGCTAAGGCCCAAGGCCACTCCGTATAGCGGAGTGCTGCGTTTGGCGGTACTCACTGACAGGGAGAGCTCCTCGCTCTCCCACTGCTCGATTTGGCCTCTCAGCTTTCCCCCAAACCGCGCGTGTTCCTTCCGTCCAGCGCAGATCTCAAGCCCTGACACACAGCACACACAGGCCAGCCACACACGATACTCCAAACACTTCAGCCCAAAGCTCCTGATGCACCATGCACCACACACATAGATAGAGCAGTACTCACTGGCAAGGCAGGGTCTGATTGCCCTGCCTCTACGTGTATTCCGCGTTGTCTGGCTGGGGGGTGGGTGCGCGCTGTTGTCCTTCCTCACACGGTGCTCTCTCCTCTGCCTTCCTCTCAACTGCGTCGACTCTCCTCTTGTTGTCCTCTCTTTCCCGCTGAACAACAGGTGTGTTGATTGCATAGGTGGTGGATTGGTGCGTTGCAGCCAGATGGGCGGGGGGGTCACCATAGTAACCAACGAGGGGGCGTAACTCAAAAAACATGGGAAAACAAACACAGCAAACCAACAAAAATAGCACACACGCCATCCCCTTGTGACCCGATTACACAATGATTCTCTGTGCTCTCTGCTGGGCATTGAGAGAAGCGTCACCGCTGCGTACCACCCACAGACTAATGGGTTGGACGAAAAGACCAACCACAACATCAAGAGGCAAGAAAGATATGTATAATTTAATCATGTGAAGCACACATTAAATATATGACTGATGGCAAACCCTACATGTTTTAATTTCCCCCATTTAAACAATGTTCGGAATGTCTTTCTCAGAGCTTTGATGAAGTTGGTGAATGAGCAGCAGAACAACTGGGACACATTCCTTGATGCCACACTGTTCTCTTTGAGGTCAAAGGTGCACACCTCAACCAAACACACCCCATTCCAGTTGATGTATGGGCGGGAGGCTGTGTTCCCCTCAGAGGTGCCTGTAGATTATCCTGTAAGTTTCATTCGTTCAATTGTTGCAAGCGTTCATGAATAGAAGAACCACAGTAACTTTAATCATTTCAGCTTTCTATATTGCTTCCTGAAGAACCTAACATCATAGAGTTCAAGAAAAAAAGGGAGGCGGAAATGGAAGACATAAAAAAGACTGCTGAAGATAACATTAGTATGGCACAGGACAAACAAAGATTGGCCTATGAAAAAAAAACCTTGAAAAAACACAGGGGTCTACAATACTCTGAGGGGCAAGAGGTGCTGCTCTTTAATGTGCGGAAGCGGGGAAGAAAAGGGGGTGAGTATTTTCTTTGTTTTTATCTTAAGATTTATATGTAATGTACAGTTTAATACAATTTTTAGGAAATATTTTGAACTTACAGGTCGCCTAGAGCCAGATTTTACTGGGCCTTACACAGTCAAACAAGTTTGTGGAAAAAATGTAATTGTAGCCAACACAGAGGGGAAGTCACTTAAAAAAAAAAAAAGTATAGATCACATCAAGCCCTACAAGAGGACTCTTGAGATGGATGACACCATTCCGAAGAAAAGGTACTTTCTGCCTTTTAATTTTTTACATTATTATCTACCTCAACTTATTTTTTCCCCTATAGACCACACCTTGAACTGGTCACCACAAGGCCATCAGTGATTCAGTTCGCTCCTCCACAAAACAAGGCCAGTAGAATGACACAAGCATATTAACATTTGCACATTATCTTTCTCAAAAGTATATTTTTTAATTGTCAGATGTTCATGTCTTTACTAAATCTCAACACTCAGTTCCCATAACAGTTTTTCTGCATATAACGGTTTGTTTAAATAATCATCCTCCAGCATTCACAAGATACATGTGAAAAAAAAGCCAGCATAGAGGAGCAAGGTTGTAATTATACAAACTTCTGACCTGTTGGGTCATATGTTCAGTTCACCCACGTTCAGGGTTTGGCTTCTGTACTGTATGTTTGCCTTGTGTTTTGTTGCTTTGCTTATTCCTTCCTGTTTCCTTTTGGCTGCAAAAGATCTGCTGTTCCCCCTAGATCATGCTTTGAATTTTCACACTGAACAGGAACCTATTCAAGAAATCGGTTTATAAATCCTATGTGGGTTTTTACAAAGGTTATGGCAAAGATAATTCCACACATTGATTACAATATTATAATAGGCATATTGGAATTTAGGAATCTAACCTCTTTATGAATAGGGTTCCTCTTTGCTATTGCATATGCCAGTGTTTTTCATATTGATATGCATATTTTTAATTATGAATGGCACACTATATATATATATTTTTACACTTGCAGTTATGGAAATCTGGTCAGGCCAAAGTGACCGAATTGAGGCAGCTGTTGGTTGCTATAAACTGTACAGCTCCTCTTTTAGGACACTTGAGGGGACACATTGGCTGTCAGATGAAGTAAGATTTGTTCATAAATTCTACATGGGCATTGTGTGAGATGCTACATACTTTTTTTCGAATGCAGGTCATTGATGCCTATCTGCGTGTGCTGGTGAACAAAGTAGAGGCATGTCATTTGTAACAAAAACTATTATCGAAGACATACATGTGTCATTTACATTGGCTTGTTTCAGCAGAAACCTGTTTACCAACTCTCTGCTGTTGTGGGCACAAGCCTCTTTGTGCGTGGCCAAATGAAACCACTCGCAAAGGTAATTCTAATATCTGTTGGCCAAATATTCTTGGCATGCTCATATGATTTTGTTTAAAAAATTTTAGCTTAAATTTCCGGAAGAGGCTCAATGGATCTGCCCCATAAACACTGGAGGCCACTGGGTGTTAGTGGTCGTCCTCATGGAGGAAAAATCACTATTGCTAATTGACCCCATGGGAAACGAGGCCCTTTACAAAGCAAACATCCTCAAGAACTGGAGGTTTGTCCTATCTGAAAAGTCAGTATGACAGACTTGTTTTCTAACTGTTCATTTCACTTTAGGAAGTTTCTGAGGCAGGCGAATAGAGGGAGTGGTCAATGGACTGGGAGTGTGCTCAAGCACCAGCTACAAACTGACACCTCCAGTTGTGGCATTTTGATTTTAAAGGTGATTCTGTAATTATTTATTCTTCTTTGAAGGCATAGTGACATTTACTATTATTTGTATATATAGTTTGCCGAGGCATGGTTCCTGCAGGGCCATTTGGATGCTGTGTGCACAGACCACACATTCATTGCTGCAGCACGTCTGGAAGTGGCATGTACGCTGCTTCAGCAAGGAGGTTATTATCATCCTTTTTTTTTGAAATTGTATACAAAATCATTAATCAACAAAGCTGAGACTGAAAAATTGTGTTTATTTGTAGGTAAAGAGGACTAGTGATGGCTGCAGGAAGTGGAAGCCTTGGCATGACTCCTTCTGCAATTGGTAGTTGACTGTGACCGCCACATAGTCCCAGCTGGCCTAAGTCACCAGATCAGCTCGGCGGCCTATGCTCTTAACGACTACGAAGAAGCATGTGTTTTTGGTACTTTTGCAGGTTAAATGTCATCCGTCGCCTCAAGTGTGTGGACTTTAAAGGGGTTGTGGATGAAAGACTACAGGGTCGGACTGGTCAGTGATTCCCTAAGGTTGCGTGCTATTTGGGCTTCATGCTCATGCCCAGAGTAGCTTTTTTAACAATTCCCTAACAAAGTTAGAGAGTGATCTTTCTCTTCCATTCTCGAGAGGCACATAAACGCTTGGGTCCACATCCATGACAATTTCAACAATGATGACAAATATTACGTTTCTTCACGGGGTTCTGCCTCCGAAAGCCGCAAAGATTGTCTGCAAGCAACACTACAAGAAACAATGCTTCCAGATCTACGGTTGCTATGAAACGGGACGTACTGAAAAGCTGATCTTGAAACATGTACTTCTCTCTGTCACACCTGGGAGGGAAGCAAATGCGGATAACTGCAGAGGTAAACTTCCACTCAACTTCGCTAATTCTCGCTTCATGTATGTATTCATGTACAACTTTTGCAGGAGCCCCACCATCGCTTCACGTTCGTGATGACCGCTGGGCGTGCTGTATGAGGGGGAATTGGTGAGTTTGTTGCTGTTGTTTACTCCTAGCATCACCATCTGTGGTACAATTACCATCTCAATGCACTAGTGTTTCATTGTAGTGCATTGAGATGACAATGTTTCATTAATCGGATTATCAACATGATTTATATTAATTGAGTCTTTAGAGATTGTCATTTTTTTAGTTATTGTTACATACTGATAGCATCTGTCTACGTTGAATGCTATATCTGAGTCTTTATACATTGTATTATGAAGAGGAAGATTTTGCCATTTAATGTATTTTGTTTTATGTTTACTCTGTGTTAAAGTGGGAGCTAGCTATTGAATGATATTGTTGTTGTTTTTAAACATAGTCCTGTTGTTTTAATGCAGGTTTGGGTGAGACACAACCTGAACCCGATGGCGAGCCAGAACCCAGAACCTGAACAACCCACATCCTCCTGCGGTCAGGTGGAGGCTGGTTGCAGATCTGTCCACTCCCACACTCTTCCACACAGACCCGTCGCAATAACCATAACGATTATCAATGCAAAGACTTTCAATAACAATTAACATTTAAACCCACCTAATCTAACCTGCTCAATAACCTTCTGGAATCCTAAATCACTCGACCGCACCACATTCTCGTCCTCCATATCTGAATCTCTATCAGGCTCCTCCCTCAAAACAAACTCCACCACTTCAGAACTTGTCAAATAAGTTTTATCAGTCTCTCTCCTCCTGCCTTAACCTTTTTTGGACACTCAAAGACGCTTTACATGTCATTATTATTTCACTCTATACACGGTAGCGATAAACTACCACTGTAGACACAGCTGCCCTGGGGCACACTGACAGAAGCGAGGCAACCAGTCTGTGCCATCGGCCCCTCCCACCACCACCAACCATTCACAAACACACCAGACTCATTCTAGGCAATGTGGTGAAGTGTCTTGCCTAAGGACACAGCCGCAGCCACCCCAGTGTGGCACCTGGTGTTACCAGAGGTTTAGTGTCTTGTCAAGGACACAACAACAGCAGACAGTGGGAGTCATCGGTAAAAGTCTTGCTCGAACCCACGACCTTCTGGCTCAAAGGCCAATGCTCTACCAACTGAGCTACTGTCGCCCTCCAAATCTACTGTCGATCCCTAAATCACTCGACCACACCACGTTGTCATCGTTTATATCTGAATCTCTATCAGGCCCCTCCCTCCAAACAACCTCCACCACTTCAGAACTTGTCAACCTCTAAACAATCCCTCTCGCCCTGCCTTAACCAGCTAGCTCCTCTTAAAAACAAAAGCAGCCCCATGGCTCACATCACAGCACTTTCCTGGTTCTCCAACCTCACCGACCTCAATTAACAATGTCAAGTCCAATACCTCCACTGGTGTTCCTCAAGGTTACCCCTCTGTGCGCAACATCAGCGGTATACTGGACGCCGCCCTTACATTCTAACCACACATAAACTATCACCAAAACATCCTTCCCCCACCTTCGCAACATGGCCCGTCTCTGCCCCTCACTCACACAATCCACTGCAGAAATATTCATCCACGCCTTCATCACCTCCAGACACAATTACTGCAGTAGCCTCCTCTCCGGTCTCCCGTCCACTCATCTCCAAAAAGTTTAATACATCCAGAAATCAGCTGCCCACCTGCTCACCAACACCCGCTCCATAGACCATAGCACCCCCGTCCTCAATCAACTCCACTGGCTCCCTGTCCCATACCTTATCCAATACAAGGTCCTCCTCACCTAAAAGTCCCTTCATAACCTGGCCCCTTCATACCTTGTTGACCTCCTCTATCAGCATTGTCCCACCCGCCGCCTCAGATCCGCTGACTCCAACCTCCTCACTCCCATCATAACAAATTGCCCAACCTTGGGGGACCGATCTCTTATACCCCCTAGACAAGTGGTTGATGTGTGACTTGCGCTACGGACTCGTGGAACATTCGTGATCCACCCGCCCTTGTCCACTTGTGCTAAACGGACTCGTGTCTCACTTGTGGTCCACCCGCTCTTGTCCTTGTGTTATAGGACTCGTGGATCACTCGTGGTCCACCCGCTCTTGTCCGCTATTGTCCCATTAACTCACTTGTTCAAAACTGTCTTGTTTCTTATTTTTCTTCTGTAAAGCGTATGAGTGTCCAGAAAAGTGCTGTATAAGTATGTATTGTTATTATTATTATTATTATTATAACACCCAAGAGAAACCACCTCCGCATCAACAGACCAAAGAGAGGAAACATCTCCTCATAAACCGACCAAAGAGAGGAACCACCTCCTCATCAATGCAGGGAAGACCAAAGAAATGGTGTTCTTGTTCCGAGTGGTCTGCTGGATCAACAGCATCACAGAGGGGGAAGAAGCTGGACAAGGTCATCAGTAAGTTCAGCTCAGTCATGGGCTGTTCCCAGTGCAGCAGGTGGGGGACCATGACTGTCACCCCCTGCAGGACACTCTGCTCTGGAGAGCAGCTTCAGTGAGAGTTATTCATCCTCTATGTGTGAAGAAGAGGTTGCACAGGTCTTTCCTTCCTGCCGCTGTCAGACTGTACTGTGAGAACTGCTGAGCCTGTACATGTCATCTCGTCTGTAAATAAGTAGTAAGTAAATACTGTAACAATCACATTTTCCCACTGTGGGACAAATTATACCTTATTTTATTTAGGAGACAATCATGGCACTTTCTTGACCCACCAATCGAAAACAAGTGGAGGAAAAATCAAGAGGCTTTTGGAGGATTTGAAGAAGGGAAAAATAGCAGATTCACCAGGTAGGGATAGTAATGTCAGTAATATTTGTTACTTTGCATCTAACGTTTTTCCAATGCTTTTAGGACACTGCCAAATGTGACAGCTACACACCAATGGAACTTGAGAGTGAGAAGGCGCTTGACATACAAACAGAACAGGTATGTCTAGTAGTAAATATTACACAATTTATTGTATTTTCATTATAAATTAAAACTTTTGTGTTTCCTTAGAGCAATGAGGTAGGAGGGAGTTTTTACATGGAAAAAGTCTTGAAGCGGACTACAGTGTCACTGATTGTCACACGCAAGTCAAAACATTTCTCTTGTAACCAAATTCATTGTTTTCTCAGGGTATGCCCCATTGTACAAAGAAGAGCTAAATGAACAACTGATTGCCTAAAGATGTGCAGAAACCCGTCTCCGAGCACCAGACATCCCAGATGAAGCGTTATTCTTTGTAATAATTAAGAATACAAATCCTGTTAACATTGACCCTTTTTTTTGCAGGCTTTTTTGGGCAGGAATGCACTTAAATGAAAATGTCAAACGTGGGCAAGATTCTTCAAAAGGGCAGTCTTTATTCAAAGTTCCAACCCAAAGTACAACAAAGGAAAGCAAACAGCAAAGCCAACACTTGGTAAAGAAATAATACTGTACAAACATTACAGTACAATAACTTAATAATATATTATTACAGAGGCTGACCAGGACAGAAAGCCAACGCACTGGCCTTCAGGATCTGTGAACTCTTCGCGTATCCTGAGCACATCACATGCAGGAATGACCTGGCTCCCAGTCGTCCCGAGCACCAGCTAACCAACTCCACAAATCTGAGACTCCTGTGGAGTTGGACACGTATGTTAATTATTGTAATTTGCTGTTTGCGTAGTGTACTGTAATGTACTGAAATGTTTTGTCCCTTTGTCTGTTTCATGGTGTGACGACGAGACCATTTGCACCTGCTGACTGTCCTCCTTCAGCCCGACTCGTGGGCTGCACCCCTGCCTGGGAGCTGCCTCAGTCCTCGTTCTGCTGCCCCAGTCCCGCCCTGCGCCCTGGTCCATGTTCTGTAGCTTAGGTTCTGGATCTATAGCCTGTCCGTCCGTGAGGAGCGGATCCCTTTCTCAATGTGGTCTCCCTCAAGGTTTCTCACTTTTTTCCCACTGGGTTTTAGAGTTTTTCCTTGCCGATGTCTAACAAAAGGACTGGTGATGATCCAGGACATTTTACCTCCATATAGAGTTCAGTGATGGGTCAAAGATGCATACAGCTGAATCCATTAAATATCTTGGATTGTGGCTGGACCCAGAGCTTAATTTCAAACCCCATATTGATTACATCATTAAAAGAACATACGCCACCATGGGCCCCCTGTTTCGTTCATCCAACTGTTTCACCCAGGAAGTTAGAAAGAAAATAATAACACAACTAGTTCTACCCATCATAGATTATTCTGACACCATCTACCAAAACACATATGACTCATACCTCAAACCTTTAAATACACTCTTCAACTGTCTTTGCAGATTCATCCTTAAATGTCCTTATCGAACACATCACTGCACTTTATTTGAAAAACTGGTAACACTTTACATTACGGGCCGGTAAGTCCATGGTACTTACAGTGGTACTTCTAGGTACTTACAGTGGTACTTCTAGGTACTTACAGTGGTACTTACGGTGGTACTTACGGTGGTACTTACGGTGGTACTTACGGTGGTACTTACGGTGGTACTTACAGGGGTACTTACGGTGGTACTTACGGTGGTACTTACGGTGGTACTTACAGTGGTACTTACAGTGGTACTTACAGTGGTACTTACAGTGGTACTTCTAGGTACTTACAGTGGTACTTCTAGGTACTTACAGTGGTACTTACGGTGGTACTTACGGTGGTACTTACGGTGGTACTTACGGTGGTACTTACAGGGGTACTTACGGTGGTACTTACGGTGGTACTTACGGTGGTACTTACAGTGGTACTTACAGTGGTACTTACAGTGGTACTTCTAGGTACTTACAGTGGTACTTCTAGGTACTTACAGTGGTACTTACAGTGGTACTTACAGTGGTACTTACAGTGGTACTTACAGTGGTACTTACAGTGGTACTTACAGTGGTACTTCTAGGTACTTACAGTGGTACTTCTAGGTACTTACAGTGGTACTTACGGTGGTACTTACGGTGGTACTTACGGTGGTACTTACGGTGGTACTTACAGGGGTACTTACGGTGGTACTTACGGTGGTACTTACGGTGGTACTTACAGTGGTACTTACAGTGGTACTTACAGTGGTACTTCTAGGTACTTACAGTGGTACTTCTAGGTACTTACAGTGGTACTTACAGTGGTACTTACAGTGGTACTTACAGTGGTACTTCTAGGTACTTACGGTGGTACTTACAGTGGTACTTACAGTGGTACTTACAGTGGTACTTACAGTGGTACTTCTAGGTACTTCTAGGTACTTACAGTGGTACTTCTAGTGGTACTTCTAGGTACTTATTGTGGTACTTACAGTGGTACTTCTAGGTACTTACAGTGGTACTTAGAGGTACTTATTGTGGTACTTACAGTGGTACTTCTAGGTACTTATTGTGATAATTCTAGATACAGCTGTAACTTAGTAATTCAAGGACACTACAGTATTATTCCTATGTAGTAAATGTGGTACTTCTACATACATACATACAGAGGTCATTTGTAGGATTGTTTGACTATAAAACATAAAACAACATTATGTAAAACAAACGTCTTTATTAATATGGAATAAGTAGCACAGAAAGGACAGTATAAATACATTTAATGCATATTTCAAAACAAGTTTCAAGGACAAGGGAAACACTGCAAGAACTAGGTACCCAACCCAAGTAACAAGAATTACACATTACCAGGTACTTACCAGCCAAGTACCATGTACTTACCAGCAAGTACCTGGTACTTGCTGGTAAGTACCTGGTACTTGCTGTTAAGTACCTGGTACTTGCTGGTAAGTACCTGGTACTTGCTGGTAAGTACCTGGTACTTGCTGGTAAGTACCTGGTACTTGCTGGTAAGTACCTGGTACTTGCTGGTAAGTACATGGTATACTATATAATTACTGGTATCACTAGTACTTATGGGTAAGTCCTTTGTCTTATTATGGGCCAGTTCCTATGGTAAGTACCTGGTACTTACTATATAATTACTGGTGTTATCACTGGTACTTATGTTAAAGTCCTTTGTCTTATTATGGGCCAGTCCCTATGGTAAGTACCTGGTACTTACTGTATAATTACTGGTGTTATCACTGGTACTTATGTTAAAGTCCTTTGTCTTATTATGGGCCAGTCCCTATGGTAAGTACCTGGTACTTGCTGTTAAGTACCTGGTACTTGCTGGTAAGTACCTGGTACTTGCTGGTAAGTACCTGGTACTTGGCTGGTAAGTACCTGGTAATGTGTAATTCTTGTTACTTGGGTTGGGTACCTAGTTCTTGCAGTGTTTCCCTTGTCCTTGAAACTTGTTTTGGAAATATGCATTAAATGTATTTATACTGTCCTTTCTGTGCTACTTATTCCATATTAATAAAGACGTTTGTTTTACATAATGTTGTTTTATGTTTTATAGTCAAACAATCCTACAAATGACCTCTGTGTGTATGTATGTAGAAGTACCACATTTACTACATAGGAATAATACTGTAGTGTCCTTGAATTACTAAGTTACAGCTGTATCTAGAATTATCACAATAAGTACCTAGAAGTACCACTGTAAGTACCACAATAAGTACCTCTAAGTACCACTGTAAGTACCTAGAAGTACCACTGTAAGTACCACAATAAGTACCTAGAAGTACCACTAGAAGTACCACTGTAAGTACCTAGAAGTACCTAGAAGTACCACTGTAAGTACCACTGTAAGTACCACCGTAAGTACCTAGAAGTACCACTGTAAGTACCTAGAAGTACCACTGTAAGTACCACTGTAAGTACCACTGTAAGTACCACCGTAAGTACCACCGTAAGTACCACCGTAAGTACCCCCGTAAGTACCACCGTAAGTACCACCGTAAGTACCACCGTAAGTACCACCGTAAGTACCACCGTAAGTACCACCGTAAGTACCACTGTAAGTACCACCGTAAGTACCACTGTAAGTACCTAGAAGTACCACTGTAAGTACCACTGTAAGTACCTAGAAGTACCACTGTAAGTACCTAGAAGTACCACTGTAAGTACCACTGTAAGTACCACTGTAAGTACCACCGTAAGTACCACCGTAAGTACCACCGTAAGTACCCCTGTAAGTACCACCGTAAGTACCACCGTAAGTACCACCGTAAGTACCACCGTAAGTACCACTGTAAGTACCTAGAAGTACCACTGTAAGTACCTAGAAGTACCACTGTAAGTACCATGGACTTACCGGCCCGTAATGTAAAGTGTTACCGAAAAACTGAACTTGTTGCAACCTAACCACAGACGTCACTTTCATTGGATGAAGTTCATTTTCAAATGTATTTATTTTAACTGTCCTCAATATTTAGAATTGTTTTTTGTCCCCAATTCACCAACCTATTCACTAAGAAGCACTAACTCCCTCACCTTTTCTGTTCCAAGAATCCATAAAGAAGTTGGAAGTAGAGCTTTCTCATACAAGGCTCGATCTGATTGGAATAAGTTACCCACATACATAAGATCCTTAACCTCCTTTGGCTTATTTAAATTGGAATTATCTAGATATCTTACCATTCCCTGTGCATGTTACTAGCTGTTTTTTACTTTTTTATTATAGTATATATATTTTTTATTTTTTTTTATTTTTATTTTGTAATATCTGGATGTATATTTTAAGTTGTATTATTCTATCACCCGCAGTATGTATGGCCTGTATTTGACTATTTTGTATACAGTAATGATGTATATGTTTTTTTTTTATGTGTTCTTATAGTAGGAGGTGGAGTTGGATCTGAGGGAGCAAACCTGTGTGTGTTAAATGTATAAATGTTAATTGTTTGTATGTACTGTATTATATGTATTGTGTTTGTTTGTTTTATGTTCATGGGACCCTCTCGAAAATGAGATGCTGCATCTCAAGGGGTTTTCCCTTAATAAATCTAAATCTAAAAAAAAAAACATTCTACAACATTTATGGACATTTTTTCTCCTTATGGATCAATGGTTCTGTGTTGTTTTGCATTTCATGTGTTTAAGTGTTCCTCTCAGATTTGCGTTTTGAAAGATATACAATGTATTGTGTGCTTTGGATGTGCCTGATATTTGTTAAATGAATTGATTTCTGAAAATGAAGTCTCCACGCTCTTTCAACATTATCAATATATTTATTTGACAGGGACAATGCAGACACAGTCATAAACAAAGCTTGCAGCTGATGTGATGAA